TTGACGTTGCTGGATCAGCAGGGTGCTCCGCCCCTACTGATCCTGTCCGTTTTTTTTGACGGTCCGACTTGATGTCGCGACTTATCGACATGGTCGGACTCATGCCTTGGACCTTTCCTTGGGCAACGGTCGTCATCACGTCCTTTTTTTGGACGTGATGCGGTGCTTGGGACACTACACTCATGAGCTTAGTGTCCAATCTTCTGACAGCTATGGCATCTTGCCGTTCGCTTGTGACTCAGAGAGCGAGAGCTCTCTCTCTCGGTGTAACAGAGGTCCATTGGTTCGGGACCTCCTGTTTCCTGTCGTCTCTTCGGCCGATAGTTTAACGAGTTAGCTTGAGACTGTCTCAGGCTGAAGTCTTCTTGTTCCGCATACGCTATCGCCCTTTCCAGCGTATGGAAGTCCTCTTGGAACATGTAGGTCTTCACCGGCCCATCCACAAGGCCGTAGATGAACACGCTGATGAGCGTGTGTTCATCAGCAGGGTTTTTTTTGTAACTCTACTCGCAAGGTAGCTCAGGTGCTGTGCGTAAGCGTGCACATCACGAATACCTTGCTTGAGCCTCAGGAGTGCAGAGCGTGCTCTGAACTCGGCTCTCGGCGGCTCAAACTTCTCTTTAAGCCGAGAATTCAAGATCTCCAACATCTCAAACACGTTTGGGTCGTGAAGCTTGAGCCCTAAGGTCCAAGTCTTTGCTCGTCCCGCCAAATTTGACAGGGCGAAGGTGACTTGCATCTCGTCACCCTCGATGTGACGGGCCCTGATGGCATCGTCTAACTCGACGAACCATCTCGAAAGGGAATCTTCATCAGTTCCCTAGTACCTTGAGAAATCAATCTTCGAGGTTTCGGGTCGACGCATGTGCGTCGGCCCTCCCATCGACTGATAAGAGCCTTGCTGCTGTAGCAAGGCTATCTTCTGTAGTTCGACGGCAAGTTCCCCTTGAATGAACTTGTTGATAGCAGCATGTTGCTGGTCTCTGCTTAGTGACTCCAACATACCACTGATGGCGGGGTCGCCCAAGAGCACACTCATGCGTCCGACTACCTCCCATTCTGAGTCACTCAGATGGGAGTAGCCTTCACTTGTGACGTGAAAGCTGCCGTCTTCTACGTCCTTCATGTTCAGGTTGGACGGACGCTAAGTAGTCGTTGGACCGAGTACGAAGTGCTACCAGTTGTAACGGAGCACTCTTTGTTTGGGTGCCCCGAAACTTCACGTAAACGAGTACGTGCAGAGGAAGCTAGTATACTTGAACGACTCGGTCAAGTAAAGGTAAAAAGAGAACTGTATTTAACATAGTTAAGCTATCAATTTAACTTTACTCTTTGTCTAGCTATGTTAAACTACGTCGTCGTATGACGACAACCTGCTCACCACTCATTGCGCGGGTCTAGCAGCAATTGGTGGCAATCTATGGTTGACATATCTTTATCAACCAATCTTTGAGCAGCGCATGAACATCATCCTAAAAGGGGATAATATTCCTTCAATATTATCCATCCCGGATAATATTGGTAGGATAGTGTCATGCTAGACAATATCCCTATTGACACCGTTTGGTGTCGATATCATGTAACGGGCTACCCCGTTACATTCGTAGGTTACTATCCTACCAATATTATCCATCCCGGATAATATTGGTAGGATAGTATCATGCTAGACAATATCCCTATTGACACCGTTTGGTGTCGATATCATGTAACTTCGTGATAAATTGAGACTGTTTCAACACCACTTCCCCTTTTCTTGCGAGTAAATTCACTTCCAAGGCCTAAGAATAACCTACGAATGTAACGGGGTAGCCCGTTACATGATATCGACACCAAACGGTGTCAATAGGGATATTGTCTAGCATGACACTATCCTACCAATATTATCCGGGATGGATATATGGATTATCCGGGATGGATATATGGATTATCCGGGATGGATAATATTGGTAAGATAGTGTCATGCTAGACTGTAACGGGGCACCCTGAAGCTTGTACTGGTGACAGTACAAGCTACTTATTCTGATAACAGAATAAGGCGGTGCCTCGTAACTTCACGTACACTCGTACGTGCAGAGGAAGACGGTAAGAAGAAGCGAGTACTTGGTTAGAGTAAAAAGTAGAACTGTATTTATAATAGTTAATGTCTGCAATAAATCACTATTTATCTTCATCTAACTATGTCTAAATACAAATGTGTAAATCAGTTATCTGCTCACCACTCATTGCGTGCGTCTGTCGTGGCGCGTCTTCGTTGGTTGATATAATGGCCTATATCAACCAATTAGGAACTACTTGGAAGTGCTACCGAATATTGTCCTTATGACAATATTCTGAGAATATAACTCTTATAGTTATATTCTATTAACAATTTCTTATAAATTGTTATGTAACGATTCACCCCGTTACATAGACAATATCCCTGTTGACACCGTTTATCCGGGACAAACCCGGCCCGTGGCTTGCAGAGGGGCTCGAGTCTAATGTAGTGAAATGGAGAACGAATATATTGAGGAGGAGTGTTAAACTTGGTAGGCTAGTCTGGTGTCATCATATCCAGTCTGGCGCAATCTTCTTTCGTCTGGCGCAATCTTCTTTCGTCTGGCGCAATCCAAGGATGGTCTCGCAGGTCATATCGATAGACAACCCATGTCTTCTTCCCCCCATGATCTGTGAGATTTAGCACGGAAAAATGCGGCGGATGCTCACACGTTCTGCCATTGCTCCCTTGTCGATGGTCACAGTGCCGTTGCTGTGAACTTGGCGGATAACAAAAGGTCCGGTTGCCACTGCGTGCAATTTTGCACGGAACTTCTTGGGGACGCGTAACATCACGTGGTCTCCCGTATTGCAGAAATGCTCGAGGCGTTTGCTATTCTCGCGGTCATTGTCGGCGAGAATTGCATCAAAACGACGCTTCGATAGATAGCTCCAGTTGGCGTTATAAAGCTGACGAGTGATCATATCTTGACCGAAGAGTAGTTGACCTGGGGAAGCATTAAGAATGCTGTGGTAGCTTGCTCGCACGGCGAATGCAGCGTAGTGAATGGTTTTCTTCCAGTCAGTGCCATCGTGTCACCTGATGACATTTAAAATCTCGAGGTGAACGCGTTCACAAATAGCGTTAGCTTGAGGGTTCTTGCTTGTTATAGGCTTGGCTTGTATCCCGTAGCTGCGGAGCAATTCTTGAAACTCATCACCAGTGAATTCCGTTCCTAGGTCGTGTATAACCGTTACAGGACGCGGGTAGCGGAATTCACTGGTGATGAGTTTCAAGAATTGCATTATCCGGGATGGATATATGGATTATCCGGGATGGATATATGGATTATCCGGGATGGATAATATTGGTAAGATAGTGTCATGCTAGACAATATCCCTATTGACACCGTTTATCCGGGATGGATAATATTGGTAGGATAGTGTCATGCTAGACAATATCCCTATTGACACCGTTTGGTGTCGATATCATGTAACGGGCTACCCCGTTACATTCGTAGGTTATTCTTAGGCCTTGGAAGTGAATTTACTCGCAAGAAAAGGGGAAGTGGTGTTGAAACAGTCTCAATTTATCACGAAGTTGGTCTACAAGTTTGAGCGAAGTGGAGCGTATGCAGTTCGCAACCCTATTTGCGCAGGCCAGGACTTGAATCCGATTGACTCACAACCAGTGCTTAGAGATAGCACTTCCTATCAGAAATTGGTCGTTCGCTGCTGTATATTCCGAATGCAACGCGACAGGACGTTAGTTATGCGATTATGCTATTATCGCAGTACTTAGACCAGCCACGACAGATGCAATGGCGTGCAGCTTTACGTGCTTTATACTACCTTATGCGAACACAATCGCACAGAATAATGTACAAGAAATCGGATGACAAAAAGATTATGCTTTGGGCATATTGTGACGCGAATTGGGGAAATGATTAGAAGACTTCTGTTGTTCTTACTTGGAGATGCGGTAGTAGTATACAGAAGCAAACGCCAAACTTCGGTGGCTTTATCCTCTGCTAAAGCGGCACTAGCTACGCAAGAAGTCATGTGGATTCGTTGTTTGCGGAAAGAGTTGGGTGTTACGTGTAAGACTGCGACTACAGTGCACATTGACAACAAGTCAGCGATAAGTATCGCGACGGATCAAGGATACAGACCAATAGCTAAACACGTCGACCTCGAGGCGCATTTTGTGCGAGATCACATTGAGCAAGGCGAGCTTCAGCTGAAACATGTTCCGTCAGCTATGCAACTTGCTGATTACCTGACGAAGCCACTTGCTGTACCGCAATTAATGCGACTACGCGATGAAGTGGAATTTGCGAGGATGCAAGTTGAAGTGGTGTGTAGAGGATCACGACTTATGACGGTGATGTGCGTGTCGTGAAAGTGGCAACTTATATGGACAGCGGTCTTTGGAGTATCTGGATTGAATTGATCAGTTTATGAGGGATTTATACCTTGATTTTAGCAGTGTTTAAACTCTTGACACTACTTTCCATTTTGCAGCACAAAGAAGTGGTTGAGCTTTCGCTGTATAATTGCATTGATCACCTTCGAAATGGCTACTCCATCCAACACGTCCAAAGAAACGATAGCGACGATGACAACGTCACAGTTGACACACCTGGATGTGTCAAATCGCTGTGGCTATGTCCCTACTTGCGTTCTGTTTCGTTATCAGGGATACGTTCTGTTGTCTCGCCGGCTGTCGCGTCTTCTGAAGCAACAATGGCTCATTCTGTATGTGTGTTGCGGTCGCTTGGAGTTTGTAAAAGCTTTAGCCACAGTACAAACGAGTGTGGTGGGACTACTTTCAAATGGCATTCGCGCGCCTGTTGCCGTCTTTCTGATACGCCTCGTCAGCCCAATCGAAGCAATGTAATACTAGGGTGTACACGTGCCATGTATGCGTTAGGCGTGTTATTTAAATGTTGCGAATCCCTACTTTGTGGCCGCTAGTGCTCGCTTGTGACGACGACAGCAATAAATAGTCGAGTGAGCTCATATCAGACGCGACCCGAGGACTCCATCGATGGGTTCTTGCACCAATCGACGCCCAGGAACTCGAACACGTCAAAGTTAGGGTCGTTGACGTCTACGCCCGTCATGCGGTCGTAGACCTTGCGGTATTTAAGCGCTTTCTTGGCTATTAGAGCGCTGGTGCTGGAGCTGGTGGGTGACGATGCATCGGCAATGAGGCACTTGGCTCGTGCCTCCGAGCGCTGGCGGTAAGCTTCATCCCGGTAGCAGAGCCGGACACGGTACGCAGCAGCTTTCGGAGCATCGAGTCCCTGGTAACGCCGTTCATGATGGGCAATGGGGCTCCACGCTTTCGTTGTGGCAGTCGAAGAAGCAATCGGAATCTGCACGATCGGGACCATTGGAAGAAGGAATAGCTGATCCAGGCGAGTCGCGCGTGGCAAGTTCGGAAGTGATCAGACCCGGGGGTTCGGAGACACGATTGAGTGGGCGAACCAAGGGGATGGGCTGTCGCGTAACGGTGGGATTTCGAAACCTTACTGTAACAGCTTCAGGGAGTGCAGAGACGCTCGTATCAGCCTACGAGCCTCGATCTCGTGGCCGCCCACAATGGATGCCTGGTTTGGAGCTGACAACACAGGAGCAGCTTCTCAGGGACGAAAAAGACGGTACTTACGACGCCTTGACAATTCAGCATGACGCGACTCGACAGTCATCTGTCAAATCCAAGCAGGCTTTGGTGGCAATGGGAAATAGCCGCGGTGGCTTGCGCTTAACATTCTTTGAGGTTGCTGCCAACGCAGCTGCTTGTGCGCAGCAAACACAAGCCTAATGTATCTTTACAACTCAGGTAACCTGAAAAAATTGGTTGATCGACTGTGAGAATCGGAAAGGAGGGTGTAGGGTATAACCAGCTCCGTCCATTAGCGACTTCGTGACAGCGGCTAGCTTTACATGAGTGACCGACATGAACAGTGGTCAGCTGGGCTAGTGTCCACCGTCGCACTCTATGAATCAATAAGCGCGCGTAGATTGCAAAACGTTTGGCGTTTACAGGCCGTCTTGCGCAAACGTCTGCTGCCCGCAAGGGGGCTCTAATGGCTTTCCTACTTGACCTGTCAGTTACCAGTTCGTCAGGCTGACGTGGCTTGGACTCGCCGGACGAAAGTTACGCTTTCAATTGCCATTGCGTATCGTACTGCATACCTCTGCAATCGTCGCCGGACTTTTATCGCACAGCAAATTGAACGTGCATTTCGCTTTTCTAGCGGATACCCTTCATCGCGTTCCGACCGCACGATGATTCTGTCGGACAACTAGATGACAGTTCCACTTCAACATTCCTATGTGTTTCCGCGAACGTTCCTTCGACCTTGGAACACCATCGAACATACCTTCTTGTTCCGGAGGTCGCCGACCTCTGGGTACCTGCTACGTCTCGACTTGAGTCCGTTGGTGTGTACTACTTTGTTCCGTGGATTTTGTTCGCAAGAACAAGAGCACGCGACGACAGAGCTTCGCATTGGCTGGTGATACAAGACAGTAGTTCGATCGGTCAGATCGACCAACAAGTCTTTCTTTGTCCGGTATCTTCATGGCGCTGTTTTCCTGCGGATATTAGTATCCTTGTCGAGTGAGTTCCGACCTACAAAAATGGTGTAACGATATCCCCGCTAGTGGAGATCGCCATTCGACTAGGGCGAATCGCTCAGTCCGCCATGAAGTGAATTAAATTTGCAGGAGATGGTAAAACATGGTGTCGAGTCTTTACAAGCGCTTCTCTGGACTCGAGGCTGCTTCATGCGTTCAGTTGGCGATCAAGTTGTGTCTATGCACCAGGATCCCGCTGACTCTTTACACTGTACAGCTATTCCAATAGATCTTGTGCAAGTCTATCTCACCGAGCAAAGTTTCGTGGCCAGTGTGTTTTGAATACGTAAACTGAACGTCTATCGAGTCAAGTGCTATCGCTCAGTCGTTTGCTACTGTCATTTCCTTGTTTCCTTCTCCGCAAGACAACACCGCGATATTCTTGACCTGCGTGTGTCACTCGTGTGCTGAAGATGAATCTCTTTTGTGCCTCACTAAAGCAGGTGATCGATAGTCGAAAGGTTCACGGAGCGAGAACCACCGCGTATGTCCCGTTCCTTGATGGAGGATCAGGTTACATCGGCTCCGAATTTCGCACGCAACCTTTTCAGCTTTAATATTATGCAGGGTGTTGACCTCAATCTTGAATGCGGATGAACAAGCGACATCACCCACAATGTCGACGACGGCTCTTCCTCTTTAAAGCCAAACGGTGGCTAAATAGACAGTTGCATCAGACGCGCAATCCTGTTTGGTCGTCTTACATCGTCGACTAAACGCAGTACAGGCGAACGTCCAGGAACGATTGCTAGCGGCTTTCTAGCTGTGCTTAACAAGTCATACGAGGTTTGCATGACTCACGCATACAGATGCGCTGGTTATCTTAGTAAGACGGTCTACGCGGCTAGCTGATCCCGTACAAGTCTTATCGCAAAGGTGTCTTCCACTATCTGAGTTAAATTGTTCGGAGGACGCGTCCTGATGTCGCTTGATTGTCCACGTATAGACTACAGCGAACACAAGGACAATCTCTTAGTGGAAGAATGGACTCGTACTTCGCTGATAACAGTGACATTCCACTCAGCACTCTATCTCACGAACACATCGGGCTTTTAGCAAGATTGATCTGCCTCTTCTTAACAAAATTTAGCAATACAGCAAACAAATTTCGAAAAAACGGCCGTCTAAGTAGAACCTGCGTACATGCGTACGTTCGAAGACGGATGCAAAAAGGTGACCACTGAGTGCCGCCGGAGGAGTTGTCAATTTGTTCGGAAACTATTGACCCACTAAGATCTTGACGAACTATGAACATGGTCACTACAGAACCGCATTGCGCAAGTAATTCTGGCCACAAAGGGTCGGGCCGCGGAAGCATGCAATACATATTGGGGCGTGCAGCTGCGGTAAGAAATTGCATCATGAATGCACGCGAGATGATAATACGGGGACTCGAACTTCGCTGGATCAATGATTAACGTGGCATTACACGGAAACGGAGGTCTGTATGAATGCCGTCGTTGTACCGACGTGAATGAGCGACGATCTCCCGTTCGGTCTGCTTGCGAAGCAGCGGGAGTACAAGTGTAAGAAACCCGTCGCGTACCTCGAGTGGAAGCCGTGGTAGCTCTACAGCCATTGGAAAGTCTTTCGGCAGCGGACCTTTCGTGATCGCCACCTGGATGAGCCAGCGACGCAAGTACCGTATCTTCTTAATGTTGTTCGTCCAAGCTTGGAGAATGTAGGCGACCTCAGGCGAGTGCATTTCAAAGTGTGGCGTCGGGTGGCGCACCAGCTCTTCACGCCACTTGGAGTTCGCAGCATCAGCGTCAGCTAGAGCTCGTGCCCGTCCAAGAATGTCAGCCTTGTGCAACTCGGTCACCTTTGCTTTGCTGTCTTCATTACTCTCTTCTCCAAAAATATTTAATTGATGCACGTCATCCGATGTCACGCGTTGCTGCATCATCGTCACCTGTTCATCCAGCTCCAGTAAGTCCATATGTCTCTGCTGTAGCTCCTCGTACTGTTTCGACACGAGCTCCAACTGCTCCCGCAGTGTCTTGAGCTCAATCTCCTGGTCCCTGATTACCACCATACGTTGCTCCTTCTCACGGGTATACTCCTCTTTCAGCTCTGCCAATCTCGTCTCTAGTTCCAGCACCACTTCACGCTGCCGTTTAGCATCACCGTCTACACAACCCCCTTGTTCATCTCCATCAGCATCTGCCACGCTAAGTCGCTCCATGAGACGCACCACTGCGAGCTTCTCAGCTTTGAGGTGGCAAATGATCTCTTCCGCGTCCAAAAGCTGTCGCTCGAGCTGCGCAACGCGGTCGTTTGTGCTCTTGAGCTCGATCCCAGTCGCTTGACTCGCCATGGAGTCAGCCGCCAAGTCCAAACGCGCCTGTCGCTGGGCAAGCGCGCGGTCGAAATTGCTGTCAACGTCATCGGCTTCGTCCTCTTCTTCATCATCTGAAGTCCGTGGCTTCCCGCATCTGTTTCGAATTCCAAAAGAAGGTACACTGACGAACGACATGTTCAGTTGCTCAAGGACTGTACGCAGATGCGCGTTGTCTCTGCGCGTGCGCTGTAGATCGCGCTGCGTGAGGGGTCCAGTCACCAGGAGGTCTGCCATTGTCGACGAGTTGTTCGCTCGACCATGTGGTTGTATGCTGGCATCTGATTCGCTGAAATTAAAGGTCGATTGAGTTCATGCTCGATGAGAGGCTGCCGACCTCTGGGCTGGATAAAAAGCAAACGACGCAAAGTCAGTGTGTTGCAGCAAGATCCGGCACACGCTGGTTAAACAAGACGCCCTGACGTCAGCTAGAAAACGCACTTTTTTGTGTCTCCGTTTTCGCACCTCAGCATGTTGTATATCAAGTGACTTGACCATTCCATTCTCCATTTCTGCTTATTTCTATTCCCAAACTCCACAACCTCGGTCCAGTGACTACCGGTATTCCTCTCACACTCGTCAGACGCATCCATCCCAACATGCGTCACATCCGCACGTTACTTCGGCCTTGCATAGCCGCGGCAGTAGCGCCCGCTGTGTGCATCGCTTATCAGCACGATCCGAGTCGCACAGAGGGTGTGTCTTCAATCCCCACTTCTTCATTCCTCTACCAGCCGCTGTCCGAGGACAAGACTCCTAAGACCAGCATCGAGTTCGACGTCCAGGCTCCACTGCAAAAGCGAATGGAAGCGTTGATTCTGCGTGTCCAGGACGATATTTGTACCGGAATTGAGGCGGTGGATGGCAATAAGTTTCTGGAGGACAAGTGGGAGAGAGAGGGACATGGCGGCGGTGGTCGGAGCCGCATTTTACAAAACGGGAACGTCTTCGAGAAGGCGGGCGTGGGCGTCTCAATTATCCACGGGAAGCTGCCGCCTGCTGCTGCTAAGCAGATGACAGCGAGGGGGAAGGAGCTGAAGCAAGGAGAGGAGCTGCCGTTCTACGCCTGTGGCGTCAGTCTCGTCATGCATCCGCACAATCCCATGGCCCCAACGATTCACCTGAACTTTCGGTACTTTGAGGTTGAGACGGGGTATCTCGACTCGAACGGCAACAAGCAGAAGATTGGATGGTTTGGGGGAGGGACTGATTTGACGCCGAGTTACCTCTTTGAAGACGACGCGCGCCACTTTCACGCAGTGTACAAGACGCAGCTGGACAAGCGCGACCCAGAGCTCTATCCCAAGTGGAAACAGGCGTGTGATGAGTATTTTTACATTCCCCACCGCCAGGAAGGCCGTGGTATTGGCGGCTTCTTTTTTGATGACTTGTCGGATACGTCTGAAGAGAACTTTCAGATGGTTCGTGACTGTGCCAACTCGATGCTCGATGCGTACGTTCCGATTCTGAAGAAGCGAAAGGACATGCCATTTACCGAGCAGCAGAAGAAATGGCAGCAGATGCGTCGTGGCCGCTACGTTGAGTTTAACATTATGTACGACCGAGGCACCAAATTTGGCTTGCTGACTCCTGGTTCGCGTGTGGAGTCGATCCTGATGTCGCTTCCCTTAACGGCTCGATGGGAGTATATGCACATACCGGCAGCGGGATCATGGGAGGACAAGACGTTGAAGGTGCTGCAGAGCCCCGTGGACTGGCTCAATGTGCCTGACGTGGACTTGACGACGCTATCGACGGGTGAGCTGCTCAGGGAGCTTGCGAGAAGAAGCGAGTAGTGGCACGTGGAAGTGTGAAATCGTACTTTCGCTGCTGTGATGCTAACTCGATGCACCTACGTCTGTAGTTTGGACAAGCGGAAGGGCTTGCCATTTACCAAACAGCAGGAGTGGCAAAATGCACGTGGCACGGGTAAGTTTGCAAATCATAGTTTCGGGATACTTCTTCAATTGACAATTCTGGACATGAGAAGCGACTGGTTGGGGTGAAGTATATGAACCCGTTGATAACGGTCCCGTAAAACTCTAAACTGTCATGCGATAATCTTTTGGCCTGATGCAATTTGGAAAGAAAAGTCCTCCGATATCGCTCAGTACTTGCCATGCTTATCGATTTCCCCTTGACATGTACTTCACTGACGAAAAAAGTCAAGGAGTTGCAAGTAAGGGGATGAGCTATTCACAAGGATTCGTGATGGTAACAAAAACCAATCATTTGATTGCCGCTGTCTTTTTGCTCCATCGTTGGCAGGAGTACCCAGCAATTACCGAAAACATTGACTAAATTGGGAATAACTCCGTCGCCGTTATTCCCACCAAGATCTATTTGTGACGAGACCAGTTTTTATCTTTCATCATCGAAATCGACGTTCCATTTCAACTGGAAGTGGTTCCGATCTTCGTTTGAAAAGTAGAACATGCAGCCAAAGAAGCTGAAAAAAAAAAAAAAAAAAAAAGGAGCGTAGAAAGTTGATTACGTGTCGCTCCCTCCGACACCTGCGGACGGCCAGAAGGACACAGAGATGTACAGTGGTGAGTTATTTATGTAATAATTGGAACGCAAGACGACTGAATAGCAGCAGATACATGAGAAGAACTTTTAGTGCTGCAGATATGTAAGGCCACACCAATGAATGAGTACGTTACGCCTCGTGAGGAGGTAGCTCATCAGGCCGCAATAAAGTGAAAGGCCGATGCTCAATAAAAAATAAGAATTGATTTATCCACATCCTTTTTCTTATCTTCACACCCTTCTGTTAAAGTCAATATTTGGACCCTTATTGTGAGCCCGAATGGTGGAGCTATTAGTGACTGTGCGCATAAAATGCCGAACACTTACATCCAACTTATCGGTGTGTCTAAGTGTATGTCTGTAAATAACGCGGTGAGGTGTACCTCATCGCGTTATACGATCTAGCCTGCCCCCTCTCATATTTATATAGGCATATTTAGGTCCCTCTTTGGATAGGTCGCTAGTGCGATTCACGGACGTAATTGGCTTAAAATCGATCAGGTTTAATATAGTCACATAAGCAAATGATGGACGCTTGTATGACAAGGCTGATCGTGTTGCACGAGTATACTGTACAAATTAACACATTCATTAACATCATTAAACTCCTTCTTCAGCCCCTGCACATGATGTTTTGCAACTTTATTTAGTTCTCCGAACTAGATTACTTGTATCGAAGGGCGAGCTCCACATCTTGCTCACCTATCTTGTAAAGGGTGGTGGGTGGTTAACGAAAACCTGGTGGGTTGTAAACGTTTTCCTATTCATACAGTACAGCATTGTCCACTAAGTCGTATACAGTATAGTTCAGAGCGCCTATGAAGCGGAGCTACCCTTACTCCTTTGTCAGAGGAAGACTTCTAGACTCGTAGAGTCTCTTAGTATGCCTAACTATACGGGTGTAACCTTAAAGGATCTCAAGTCTTACAGACTTAGTGAGACTTAACTCTCAGTGTATGTTCAAACTCTTAAGATTCTAGTCCTGGTTTGGGGGACTACGAATCCAAGTAATCAGGTGGCACTATGCGCAAGATTAATTAGCCTAAAATCAGGCACTTAACTCTCACGACCAGAGACGTCTTAGAAAGACACGTGTTCGAACTTATCAAAAAGTTGTCTGAATGTGTTTACTAGTTCACAGCGATAATAAACCTTACTTGTGTATTTAACCTTTAAACTATGCTATTTAATCGAATGATCCACATTGTAGTTCTTCTTGTGTACTACACCAGAATTACATCTCCTCTACAAAGCCCCTATTACGATAGATATCATCTAAACACAGCCGATAGGGTACGACATTAGCTGTAGCGGAGCTACACAGCTCCTTAAGTCAGAGGAAGACTTAACGCTCTACGAGCAACTTAGTTCTAAAGAACTAACGACTTTACGAGTCAACAAGCTTTACAGCTTCAGATCCTTGTTCCAGGGGACCTAACGATTCAGTGAATCGACAGCACTCAGTGCTCAAGAGTAGCTACCTCAAGGAGGTGTTGCTAACTCTTAGTGATCAGTGATCAACGATCAAGAAGGCTCGCAAGCCACGTGTCTTTTAGATCAAAATGGGAACTGATTTTATTTTTTTGATAAAGCCTATAGAATATCTTCATCCTACCCAAAGATCTTTTATACCTAATGGCTGACACTCGACAGCCCCTACAAACCAATAAGATATTCTACATCACCTTCACAAAGGGGTACCCTCAGGTGTGTAACACCTCTGGTACAAAAACCATAATTTCGTGCAGCCCCGTTACACCCTCCCCCACCAGACTGACGTTTACCAAAACGTCAATCAAACTTGTGTTCCTAAGCGAGAACAGTGCGCGTACGGTAAACCTCACGGTAACGTACGCTCTAGCACGATGTCCCCATCACCAAACGAGTCAAAGACTTTGTGTGACTACTTCGGAATAGAGGAGGCGGTGGACTATGGTAGCGGTAACAGTGTCCACGGCGATACAGGGACAATGTCCGACTCACTGATGCCTGAGGAACAAATTCTAACACCCCAAATCCGTTCTCTGAACGTGGAGATGCGAGCACGCCACTAACACAGCATTCAGCATCTGGTTCTGATGAAACTATCATCACGAACCGGCTCGATGAGCATTGACAACGTCTTGTTCAACAAGAAGAAAACGCTCAGCGTCATGTACAAGTGGTTGCAACCCTTTAACGCCAGCGTGACTATGTGTTCACTCCGGCCAGCGTGGAGGAACGTCTACGTCAAGCGGCCGGCCAAACATTGGCAGCGTGGGTTATTGGCCATGGGCCTAAGACTCCTAAGGAGGTGGTGAGCTGCCAGGCACTTCGTGAGAGGTTTCTGGAGCGGCGCCTAGCAACTCAAAGTCAATCCAAGGCACGCCTTGACATGCAAGCACGTGGTGCACCGGTTCCACCGATCAAGGGTATACCCATTCTCTTGTTCTCAGGCGAAACAGTGAGCGAAGAAGACGATGCCTTCGTTCACTGGGTGCACTATGTGCGTCGCCTCAGCAACATGTTTGCTCTAAGGGCTAGTGCCCATGCGGCTGATGTGCGTCTCGAACGCAAGCTTCGGTATAATTATGCCAAGATTAAGGCCAGAGGCCAATTGCGCAAGCGCACGTGGCTATGCTTCGGCTACTAAGGTAGCCACGAGTGCTGGTCAGTCTGTGTCCAACAACCCGCCAACCCGCACCACTAGTGGTGGGGAATGGCCTCGGTCTCGAGATGACCATGGCCACGATGCTCAAAAGCATTCAAAGCATAAGGGCAGTCTTGCCGAAGGGGTATGTCAAACTCCCATGAGTTGTTAGACTCAGTGTACCCTCGCCACTTTACCAGGTACTGGTATTGGCCCTGACGACGACGTCGTTTCAGTAGTCTCTCGACATGAAATTGACGACACCCATGCTCGTCGAGCAAAGTCGGTGGCGGCCGGTGTACCGGTGGAGGCGCACGAGAAATTGGTTCTCGAAGTGAGGGGTCTTCAAGAGGCCTTGGGTAAGTCCCAGTGCATGCTGGATGCGATGCAAAGCCGCCTTCAGGCGATGGAGCAAGCTCAAACTCAAAGCGAGGCTCAGTTTGACTTGCTGATTCGCTTGCAGCAATCCGGGGCAGTGCCCTTGTCGTCGGCGCAAGCGCCTCCAAGTTCACATGGGAAGGATCCCGGTACGGCTTAAGTAAGCCTACGTAGAACACTGGATGTGTGCGCAATTTGCGCGGGAGGTTTAGCGTATACGCAAGTCCCTTCTTGGCCGTGACCGTAAACGGTCCAATAAAGCGTGGACGCAGCTTTGTCTTAAAGACAGCGGACACTACATTTGTAGGTAGATTTTTAGCATTGGGAAATACTTGGTCTCCGACCTCATATGTTCAATACATTTTTCGCCTTTGGCATCAGCGTGTTGCTTTTGGATATTTTGGCTATCAGCCATTGCGTCAAGCACATGTCTTAAGACACTTAATCGCGTTGCGAGAAGCTCGCCTACCTGTTTAAAAACGGTAGCAGGGATGATATCAGCAAGCCGATCGGCAACCTCTCCCCCACCAAGCCCTGAATCACGTATTGATAGCTTTACCGGAACGCGAGGGTGAGTGAGACCGTTTATATAGAACGGAATAAAGCCTGTTGAGGCATGAACAGCGTTATACAACGCAAACTCAACAACAGAAAGCATTGAGCTCCAACGCCTAGGCGTATCAGCGCAAACACTGCGCAAAATGTCATTGATGACGCGGTTAACACGCTCAGTTTGACCGTCGGTCTGCGGATGATCCGCTGTGGACATGTACAACCGAGTGCCCAGCACCTTGCGCAGACTTCCAAAACTTTCCAGTGAAGCGGGGGTCTCTATCCGATACAATTGCCACAGGCAAGCCATGTTGGCGAAACACACGGTCGATAAACAGCTTTTCTGTACCTTCAGCATCGATGCTATCCGGCACAGCCGCTAAGTGAGCCATCTTGCTTGATCGGTCAGCAAAGACCACAATACCAGTGTTGCCTTCCGAATCTTTCGGTAGGCCAAGCACAAAATCCATGCTCATGGACTCCAAACAACCAGTGGGTGCTGGTAAACTAGCCAGCGGCGCCTCCGCATGTGCTGAGGGTTTAACCCGTTGACACGTTTCGCACGTACGCACATAGGTGCGCACCCACTTATAAAGTTTGGGCCACCAATAACTTTGGCTCACCGAGCTATAAGTCTTCTCACGACCGAGATGACCACTTAAAGCAGTATCATGTGCCTCATAGAGGATTCGATACTTCATTCCTCATCACAATACGAAAGTTATCCTCAATATCCGTGCGATAGCACAACAGGCCATTATCGATGGAATATCGATGTAGCCTCGCACGTTGACGTGCCGACAATTCTATGTCCGAGTCTTTAAACTCATCGCTCCCAAAAGCACGTAGCAAAGCAACACACTGATCATCCTTGGCACATGCCGCACGGATTAGGTCAGTAAATGACGACGACAGAGTCGTTACATGAGCAAGCTCATAGTCAGGTCGACACGATAGCGCATCAGCCAGAGCATTTTGTTACCTGGCTTGTACTTCACCTCGAAGTTATATTCGGCAAAGAAGGAAAGCCAACGAGCCATTCTCTGTGTGAGATGAGGCGACTGTGTCGCAGTGAGTATTGACGCATTATCTATACAGATCACAAACGGCTTTGAGCCAAGCAAATGTACTCTGAATTTGACAAGAGCGTACTTCATAGCAAGTAGCTCTTTGTCATGAACTGGATAGTTCTTTTCAGCAGCTTTTAGCTGCCGAGACTCGAATGCGATGACGCGTTCGCGTCCATCGACATCTGTTGTAACAGAGCACTGCCTATGGCGAAGTCAGATGCGTCACAGACGACACTGAAAGGCCGATCAGGATCGGGCAAAGCCAAAATTGGCGCATGAAGGAGACTCTCCTTAACTGCTTCAAAAGCATTATGTTCGGTGTTATTCCAACACCGATCCACATCCTTTTTAAGGAGATTGGACAATGGTCGAGCCATATCTGCGTAATTCGCACTGTACCTATGTAAGCAACTGGCAAGGCCAAGCCACTAACGTAAGCCATTTTGGTTCTTGGGAACCGGCCACTCGACTATGGCTTTTACCTTAGCGGGATCCGCTCGAAGGCCTTGCTTTCCAATGAAGCACCCTAGAAAGGGAATCTCTTTTGCACTAAAGATGCACTTAGATGCGTTAGCATGCAACTTATTCGTCCGCATGCACTCGATCACCGCTCGTAAATGATCAATGTGGTTATCTACATCTGATGGCCCATTCATTGCACGACTATAGACAATAATGTCATCAAAGTAAGCTTGTACATAGCCTCGATGAGTTCTGAATAGTAGCGTTACCAGCCGCTTAAACGTAGCCGGGGCGTTATATATCCCTTGTGGCATAACGAGCCACTTCTAAAGCATGCCGCTCGGAGTACTCACCGCTGTTAGCGGAATATCACTTGCTCGCATGAGCAGTTGGTAGTAACCATCGACTAAGTCGAGTGCACTGTACAATGTACATCCTACCATATCTTTCTGAAGAACATCCTTTCTAGGAATAGGCGTCTGCGCTGGTATAGTGGCTGCATTAAGCTTATAATAAGCATGCACAATACGCCACTTGCCATTTGGCTTTTTTGACACAAAATGTCGGTGTTGAATAGGGAGACTTGCTCTCACGAACCATTTAAGCCGCGTGCTTAGCACGAAATAAATCGTCAATGACGTCATACTGTTCTTTAGGCAAAGGCCACTGCCGTTTTACGCAGTATTTATTTCCAGGAACTAAGTCGATTTCATATCGTACACCTCTATCGGGAGGTAAGGCAGATAGTGGGTTGTGACACACCAAATCTTGAAATTTCTTAACTATAGGATAGAACGGATCCAAAGGATCTTTAAGGATCGAAGATCCACTTCGTGCACTAAGTGCCGCCTTTGTATCCTCTAGGACAGACTCATCCATTAACGAGGAAGAGTTCAATATAGGATCAGGTTTATTGACCGCTAACTCGGATAGCTCTTTTTCTACCTTCAAGGCCTGGCTAAACTCGCCATCAGACATTTCGTCTAGCCACAAATAGCGTCCAAAGATGGAAGGGTTTCAAGGCAAAACTGCCATCAACCTGACCAGTCACTCCATTAACAAGTGTATATAGTGTATTATTATTATCACTATGTGACTGTGTGGACGCCTGGCGCTTTACAGTTGTTACCAGGCGTCTCGATCGTCTCTTCGAGACCTTACACCCCTTAGAGGTCGGGACAATATTGTCCCCGTGGTTACTATCAACCATAGTACGCTCTATACGAGAGCTTCTGGATTGACCGACATCCGGTGAAGTGTTACATAGCTCGAACACTTCACCCAGTGGATTGAAACGTGCCACTCCACGTATATTATGCAGGTCTAGCCCTAAATTAAACGGCGTCTCGCCAACAATGTCATTACCGACATGAGGTGTGGTGTCCTCACGGCCGCCCACACTAAATGGTGTATCACCAACAATATCATGACCGACATTAGGTGTGGTGCCCTCACGGCCGCCCACACTAAATGGCGAATCGCCAACAATATCACTACTGACATTAGGTGTGGTACCCTAACGGCCGCCCACACTATATGGCGAATCGCTAACAACGCCATTACCGACGTTAGGCGTGGTGCCTTCACGGCCGCCCACACTAAATGGCATATGGCCAACAATGTCATTACCGACATTAAGTGCGGTGCTCTCACGGCCGACTGCACTCGGTGTAGTTTCACGTGCCACCACACACACATCAAAGGAATCACATCCTTGATCACTCGGCCCTAGGCCAACCATGCCTTCAGCATACAGTGACTCATTATCACAACGAGTAACACTCAACGGAGTACGTGTCGTTTCAATAAATTTAGACGAGCTATGCTCGAAACTTATGTTGGTAACATTGAAGTAAGAAAACTCAGACATTCCGATATCCAGCACATTGACATCTTCAGTCAAAGGCTAAATAGCGCTTCTGTTGCCTGGAGAAGGTGGGTCCATGACTCTCCAAAACTTCGCTAGGAACAATGCGAATAGCGCCTAAGTTCTTAGACCTCCAATCAATCCATGGCTCATGGCGTTCAAGCCAAGCCATACCTAGGATGAGATCATATCTCGATTCCAAATCTAGGACAATACAGCGCTCAATACTGTCAAAGTCTGAAAACTGTATACCTAAGTTCAATGGAACTTTAGGCACAGTTACGCGACGTCCAGCCGCTAAACGTACCGTGATAGAATCACCCTCTTGCGCTGTAAGCGCCTCAGCATAACGCTGACTTTCCTCAAGGGAACGGCGTCGAGCATAATTGCAAGACGCTCCAGAATCGATCAATATCTAATAAGGCTTATCAAAGCCCTTAATTTTCGCCTTGGCGACCAAAAAGCCAGACTTGTATCCGCGCACCACACCCGTAGGTATGGTACTCTTTGGGGCTAAGCCCTGCCTTCCTTTACCTTGTAAAGGTGTAACAGAACCTAGTTCTTCCCCAGTAGGGCGCCCCGCGCCCACTGGGTGTCGGCATTTCCCCGTGCCATACCAGACGTCTGACTCGGGGTCGAGTGTTGGCTTGTAGCCTGGCGTTGATTAAACAAAGGGCAACCAGGCTGCAAGTGTTTAGTGCTTCCGCACGTAAAACATCGTCGTACGACGTGTTGCTGCTCAGCAGCTTGAAGATCAGCTTCAACTCCATCTTCAGCATAGCTGAGATCCATCGGTTCCGGCCTATTATAGGCAGTGGTAACCGAAGAGTTTGCTTTCACAGAGCGAGGGTTGTACCCATTCCAACCAAGTCTGGCCGACTTGGAGTTATGCGCAGCACTAAGAGCAATTCTCACAGCCTCTTCAAAAGAAGAGGGGTGAACCCGAAAAATCTCGGTTCTGGTAATGCCAGTACGTAGACCTTCCATGAAGATAGTCACATGAACTGCCTCAGGCAGAGGGTCAGACTGCATTGCAGCCATAAGCGTTCGCAGCTCTTAAACATAGTCTGATAAGTCAATTTTACCCTTGCGGGCAGAAAGAAAGCGTGAGCGCACGCGGTAAGCCTGGTTAGGTGGTGAGAACACCTATACTAATTGTGAATTGAGCGACTCCCATGTGGTAAACGCTATGTCCACCGACGTGCTACATGTCAAGGCCTATTCTCCAGCTCTTCCATCGAGATTTGAGATAGCCAGCGAGACCTGTTGATGGTCAAGCGTGATCAGGCCTGATCTCATGGCCATCTCAATCTCACGGATCCAGAGGATGAGATTCTCACCCTCCTTACCGGAGTAATTTTTCACTTCCACTCTAAGTGGACGAGGCCTAGCCTCTTCTTCTGGTATATACACATAGCGTGTAGGCATAGACGACGCTACTTGGTCTTGGACCTGCCCTAAAAGGGTCGCTTCATACTGCATGAAGCTTTCAACACGTGCATTAAGCACTTCAGGACCTTGTGAAACAAGGAACTCCACGTACTCTGGACCCATAGATGCGGTCAGCTTATCAAGCGCGACCTTTTGGGCCTCAGATAGGGGAGTGGGGTTTTCCATCCTCACAGAGGATCATTCTTAAAGACTCAGGCGTAGATTGACTATAAGTGCTACCAAGTGTAGCGGAGCTACACAGCTCCTTTAGTCAGAGGAAGACTTAACGCTCTACGAGCAACTTAGTTCTAAAGAACTAACGACTTTACGAGTCAACAAGCTTTACAGCTTCAGATCCTTGTTCCAGGGGACCTAAAGATTCAGTGAATCGACAGCACTCAGTGCTCAAGAGTAGCTACCTCAAGGAGGTGTTGCTAACTCTTAGTGATCAGTGATCAACGATCAAGACGGCTCGCAAGCCACGTGTCTTTTAGATCAAAATGGGAACTGATTTTATTTTTTTGATAAAGCCTATAGAATATCTTCATCCTACCCAAAGATCTTTCGTACCTAATGGCTGACACTCGACAGCCCCTACAAACCAATAAGATATTCTACATCACCTGCACAAAGGGGTACCCTCAGGTGTGTAACACCTCTGGTACAAAAACCATAATTTCGTGCAATCCCGTTACATTTTCTTATCGTATGTTATTCAAAAGTGCGCCTTATCAGTGATACTATCTCTTTCTGTATAAACCACACCGATCTATCTAATTATTACAACCATTTGATTAACCCTGTTACGGTCTACAAAATTAACATATAATATGTTTCTGTTCATCAGATAATTGCTGCTGCCCTGTTGGCAGGTCATTCATAGAATTTAAGCATAGTGTGCGACAGACGAGAGACCAGTAGCATACGCTTTGCAAATTTGCACCACACGAGCCGCCTGCACATTTTTAATAGCGCACGCTTTTGTCCACGAATAAACGCTCAACCAATAAAAAGTACGCAGTGAGATTGTGTAATTATAAACGCACACGTGGACCTTTTTCAATCCGTTTAATGCGTCTTAAAAAAGATCTCTATCGGGCGTTTGCACCGGACTTTCACCAAGAGAGTGGATCAAGCAGAGCACAACAACGTAATTAGACGTAATGAGGGTGGCAGTGTCTTTTATTATACTTTGTGTATCCAAATTGTGATACCTGATTGAATTTTACACCGTTTCTTTTATTCCAGACTGCATGTAGGCAGTGCAGAGGAGGACCTACGAACATCACAGGAGGTCAAGGGAGAAGCATAACAGTTATGTTACAAGGATTATTTAATTGTTACGGTTAATAAGCTTAAGACTGTCGAAAATCTTCTTATGGCATGTACTATTTATTAGTAGATAGCATTGAATTGACGTCGATAACGACGTTGTTTTACCTACTCATGACAACTCCTTCTACTGTTACACAATTAGGCACACATAAACTCCTGATTCGTTTTATTTTAAAAGTCACATCTCACATGGCCATTAGAGTTGAACTCCTGCCAAGGGAAATACATCATCGGAGATGGTGTAAATGAAGGTACGAGATGTAGTACAGAAACTTTTCCGATTATATACTCCAGGCCAAATGTAAATTTTACCTAATTTTTTTCGAAATCTTATAGTGACTGTTACAAATCAAAAGCTTCTATTTGAACATAAAAGACCTTAAGTGAATTAAATAAAGTGCACATGCAATCGGCCCATTTTTAGCAGTTCGTAGGGGGTCTCCCATACAAATGTCGAAGATGGACATGGCCAAAAGATAGACAGCCTTTCTTGATACAAAAATCAATATTTAATACGAGAGTAAGGCCGCTTGTTAAACGACATATTGCAAATCGTAAGAAGAGGAAAGAGAATGTTGGATGAAGAGCGGGGGAGAATTCGCCGTCTACAAAAGGTCGGGCACTCTATTAAATACATTGCGAGACGTCTTAAAGGTTCTCTTACATGAATGCGAGCTGCATTACATCTTCAGCAAGCAAGTAGCACGACAGGTCGTCCTACTCTTGTAAAAGCCGCGACTTGCGGCGCGTTGTGCGAGATGTAGCAACGGGAAGTTGTGCATCCGTCCAATTGACTGACAAGCTGGAACTCAAGTGCTCCGCGCTGACTGCCCGCCGCATCCTCCTTGGTGAAGACTGGCTTTTCAACACTAAAATAGACTGCACCCTACCTCTCACAGCAAGCACAATACATTAAGATATATTCAAATTCTTAGCCGTGTGATGTTGAGAATAGATTAGGACGCCGTTATTTTCTCGGACCATTTTTTTTAATAATAGACGGTCCCGAAAGTTTCAAAACTACTTGTGTTACTTGACTCAACGCTTATTGAGAAAGTCCGGGTTAAAAACGGTGGTGAAAAGGCATGGTTTGGGTCGCAATCATGCGAAGGGAAGGGAGAGATAGCAGCTCTATTATAGAGCACATACAATTCAGCTACTGAATAGACCTTGCACTGCTGACATTGCAAGGGTTTGAGCGTCCGACTAACACATGCACACGTATGTGGAGTGGATTGTTGCTAAAACGGAGTAAGATTACTCAGTAAAGGTAAAAAGTGGAAATGATTAAGGACAGTTCATCCTTTTAAAAATTCCCTATTTGACTTCGTTTAACAATATCTGAATGCAAACGTGTAATGTAGCTATTTGCGCACCACTCATTGCGTGCTTCTGTCGAGGCTAGACTATATCGGTTGATGTTTCAATTCTGTATATTAACCAATGAGCAGTGTGTTCGATCTGCGAAGCAATATAATCTATAAGGATAATGTTGTAAAAATGTTGTATTTGTCCTAGCATTATATCCATGATTGATATTTACCTTTTGTACATCATCATGTAAAGGAGACACCCTGTTATAAGACTGGGTCAGTGGGAAGCAAGCATCTGAGCATTATGTCACACGCTACCCGTAGTTTTCCTGCTTCTAATTGCACATTTACACTAAGGTACCGACTATTCTTCCAGCAGGACAACGCATCGATTCATACGTCGGAGTTGCCAGCAGAATTTATTGAAGAGCAGAAAGTGAGTTGATGAAACAGTTATCACGTTCACCTGATCTTAACCCGATTATAAGAGTTGTGGTTAGTTTTGGCAGCAAAAGTTTGTTTGTTTACGAAAAGAAGTATTACAATGTCGACGAGCTAACCACAGCTTTTTTGTATGAGTGGGTAGGTATCGAGTCGAAAACCCTGCGCGACCTCGTTAATAAATGCCGAAAACGATGCATTGAAGTCATCGAGCTGCGTGGCAACAATATCCATTGTTAATTAAAAGCAGCCTTTCTTTTGTTTTTAATCTTGATTTTTGTATCGATGAAGGCTGTTTATCTTTTGGCCATGTCCAATTTTGACCTTTGTATGGGAGTCCCCCTTTGACCCGTGGTGTGTACTTTACTTTTGGCCTGGGGTGTTTGTATTACGTAGAGAAAGAGTACGAGGAAAGGGGGGGGAGAACTGGTTCGGCAAGAGTGTGCAAAAATCGGGTTTGACAGGAAGGGTGTGAGGATCATGTATGACCAAATAGTAAATTCAACGAAAAGGGGACAAATTAAATTAACACCCACAAAAAGCCACATGTCCTCGTCTCCTATTCGAGAGAGAGTGCCTCTCACACCACATACGACGCGATTCCAGATCGAGTTTCACAGGCAGCGAGCGCATTTCTGCCACGTACCGGTCGTCGGGAGATGAAGTTCTGGCTGTACTCGAGCGCGAGTCTCGCGGCGTGCGTGGGGCTCCTCTGCTACACGTACGCGACGCGGGAGCACTTCTACCCGTCGGTGATCTACCTCGTGACGTCCAAGGTCAGCGTCTTGGTGCTGAGCAACGCGGCGCTCGTGCTGACGACGCTCTTCGGGCGACTGGTCCAGTCCTTTTTCCTCGGGGCCCTGCGGGAAGTCGAAGTCGAGGTAGACACCGGACTCTTATACTTTATGTACCTTGGACTCGCTAATTTTATTATTCTGGGTGTGGATGCACACAGCTGCTGCACGAAAACGTGCGCTACGCTGTGACTGAGACATGTCTAGCGCTGACGATCTTTCGGGATGAGATCTCGTTCCACGTGATGGCGCTGTTCACGGCGCTCGTGTTCCTCAAGATTTTCCACTGGCTCGCGCAGGCTCGGATTGAATTTGTAGGTGGAGACTCTCATAGTTGTTACTCGGGTGCGAGAGTTGTGCTGACTCCGCTATTGTGTTTTTTTGGGTGTTGCTAGATCGAGCAGACGGATACCGTCTCTCGGTCAACGCATGCACGACTGTCGACACTCATGGCTGTGCTTGCTGTGGTGGATGTGGCCTTTGTGGTCTGGTGCTCGCTCGAAATTATGGAGACTGGGCCTTCGGTCTTCATCCTGTTCGGATTCGAGGTACGGTGGCAGCTGTTTGGTTTACCGTCTGAATGAATGGGCCCGACGAATCTAATACCATTGGCTACTGTGTAGTTCCTCATTTTGCTGGTGACTATCGTGGCCTTGTCCTTGCGCTACGTGCTGTATGCGGTGGACCTTCGGATGAACGGTGCCTGGACAAACAAGTACACGTACCTCTTTTACTTGGAGCTCGTGTCCGAAGTGGTAAAGCTTGTCGTGTACTTGGTACGACACTTTTGCGAGCTAATGTGCCGTTGCGGTTTGTGAATCCAGAGTACTAATCTGCGCGTTTTTATCCCGATGTGTTTTGTAGATCTTCTTTATGCTGATCTTCGCGTACTATGGCATGCCACTGCATATCGTGCGTGACCTCTGGGTTTCCTTCAAGAACTTACAACGACGCATTTCGTCGTACTTCCGCTACAGAAAAATCACCGCTCATCTGAATGAACGCTTCCCGAATCCGACGGAGTTGGAGCTTCAGGAAATGGACAGGACGTGCATTATCTGTCGGGAGGAAATGACCCCAGAAGTTTGCAAGAAGCTACCGTGCTCACATATCTTTCACGTTAACTGTCTTAAAATGTGGGTGCAGCGCCAGCAGACGTGCCCCACGTGCCGATCCACCATTCCGACTGGGCCCCGTCACCCCGACCCTATTACTAGTCCTGGAGGAGTAGCGGCTCGTGTTGCAAGACCCGGAGCCGACGATAATAATGCAGCTCAACCGGCAGCAGAAGGGAGAGGTAATGCTCAAGAGCGTGCTGCGCCACGCTTCCGTTTTGGGGTAGCGTTCGGACGTGCAGCTCCGCCATCAAGTCAACCCGAAGCTCCTAGTGCGACAACTCCTGGAGCTGCTCAAGACACTACACCCCCAGGGTACGGTGGCATTCCTGCAGCCACCGCTGGCAACCCTTTTGCTCCTGGTTATTCGAACCCGTACATGTTCCCGATGATGTTTGTTCCTGGAATGGGGTCGCCTTTCGGCTACGGGATGCCGGGAGCGTATGGCATGATGCCGGGCATGTCACCGCTGGGCCACATGCCAGCTCAGTCCCAGCAAGGTGTGCAGCAGCCAGCGATGGACCCAGACGGAATTCAGCAACAGATAAATTTTCTGCATGAACAGCTCGCGATGCTGCAAGCATCAGCGGCACAGGCAAGCACTTTACAGCCGACTGGCGCGGTATCGCAACAAACGACGCTGGCGTCCTCCGTGTCAATAGCACAGTCGCATACCAGTGCCCCTCCTGTCCAAGCGTCTCCACAAATATCTGCACCTACGGCGTCTGCAGCTTTCCCAGCTCCAGCAGTTGCTACTGGGCAAGCTTCAACTGCAGTAGGCGCCGGTACGAGTACAGAGAGCCCGAGGGAATCTTTGGACGAAAAGCGTTCAGCTCTCTTGCCGTCTCAGGAACAAGGAAGTCTATTGCCAACTGATGGTGCTCATGAGCCATCAACATCGCTTCCTGTGACGTCCACAATTCCATCGGCTTCGGAGTCAGAGGTGGACCGCCGCAGAGAAGAGTTGCGCCGTCGCTACAACCGTATTTACGGCACGTCTTCGAACTCTGCTGCTACAAACGATGGCGAGACGAAGACCGACTAATTGAACGATGATTTCCATCGCCTTTAGTTGTGTGACTTTTGAAGAAAACGAGCTGGCGTGTGGGCAGGACGTTGAGTGTTGATGACTATAGGAATCGTATCAACGATAATTTGTAAACAACTTCCACTTGCTCGCTGAGCGTGGGTGTGCGTGCGTGAGATTGATTCACCCACTACAGTACCATCATTGTGAGTAGCTTCGCCACTTGTACGCAGAATTGTGAGATTTCTCGTGACGTCTGTGCCAAGATCAGAGGATCTAGCTGTTAGCACCCTCTTGTCTCTTCTAAGAAGTTTCCCTACGGTTCCTTCCTATACGTTGCAAAAGATACTAGAAACATTCGTAGTTCGTTGCTATCATGGTCGTTCGACGCTCTGAAGGCTGAACACCGTGACACCTCGCTCCATAATACGTCCACAGCTAGGCAGCAATATAAAAGAAGGTGAATACTTCACTTTATGGGTAGGACAAATTGAGATTGTACAACGGGTGCGACAGTGACTAAAAAATATTGGTCCTGTCTTCAACCTAGAATATTGCGACGCCAATTCAACGATCGTGCGTAGGGGCTCGCTAGTTGTACAATCTGAGCCCACACCCGTTTAAAAGAAGGCGTATCTTACGCGTCTGATCCGGAAGATAATCCGGTCAGATTGGTGTTTCGGTCAGTTTGGGCGCGTTATGTAGGCGCCTTCGATCGCTACTGTAACGGGGTGAATCGTTACATAACAATTTATAAGAAATTGTTAATAGAATATAACTATAAGAGTTATATTCTCAGAATATTGTCATAAGGACAAATATTCTGTAGCACTTACAGGTAGTTCCTAATTGGTTGATATAGGCCATTATATCAACCAACGAAGACGCGCCACGACAGACGCACGCAATGAGTGGTGAGCAGATAATTGATTTACACATTTGTATTTAGACATAGTTAGATGAAGATAAATAGTGATTTATTGCAGACATTAACTATTATAAATACAGTTCTACTTTTTACTCTAACCAAGTACTCGCTTCTTCTTACCGTCTTCCTCTGCACGTACGAGTGTACGTGACGTTACGAGGCACCGCCTTATTCTGTTATCAGAATAAGTAGCTTGTACTGTAACCAGTACAAGCTTCAGGGTGCCCCGTTACACCTGGTAGCACTTCGTAGTCCGTCCAAGGACCGCGTTCACATCCAACATGAATATGTTGGATGATGAAGATGACCAAAGCTTTCACGCTACGCGTGACGGCTACTCCCATTTGAGCGATGTCGAATGGGATGCGGTTGAACGAATGGGTTCGACCATGGGCATCCATGCTGTTAGCGTCATGCTAGAGGCTCTCAATAGAGACGCCCAACATGCTACTATCGCCAAGTTCATCCAAAATGAACTTGACGCTGAACGCGAGAAAGTAGCCTTGCTTCACCAACAAGGTTCTCAACAAGCAGAGTTGTTGAGAGAACAAGGTGCTCAACAGTTTGAACTGTTGAGACAGCAGCAGGCTGCTGCTGGCGGGTCGATGCACTCGCGTCGGCCCGAGACTTTGAAGATTGACATCTCAAAGTATAGAGGGGTCGAAGAAGACTCCCTCTTGAGATGGTTCGTCGAATTGGATGACGCCATAAGGGCGCGTCGCATCGACGACGGGGATATGCAAGTTGCATTTGCCCAATCAAATCTGGCAGGACGTGCCAAGACTTGGGCACTGGGGCTCAAGCTGCACGACCCATATGCGTTTGGGTCGTTGGAAGTCTTCAAGTCGCGGCTCAGACAAACGTTTGAACCGCCTAGAGCTGAGTTCAGGGCTCGAACCGAACTCTTGAAGCTCAAGCAGGGTAAGCGTGATGTGCACGCTTACGCTCAACATATACGACATCTTACGAGTTGTATAAGTTCCAATCCAGTGGATGAACACACGTTGGTTTCGGTGTTCATGCAGGGTCTTGCGGATGGTCCCGTCAAGACTCACCTGTTCCGGCTTGAACTAGATTCACTAGAACAAGCCATTTCCATTGCGGAGCAGGAAGACTTCAGTCTGAGACAGGCTCGCGCCAGCTCGACATCATATCGTCAACCGAGACGATATGACAACGGAGGTCCAGAGCCGATGGAACTCTGTTATGTAGAGAGCGAGAAGGCTCGCTCTACAGGCTACAAGAAGTTGCAGAGATGCAACAGATGTCAAAAGACAGGACACTACGCTTACGAGTGTAGTGCCCCTCGTCCAGTGTCTCGCGACACTGGGCGTAGTGACCGTCCACCCATGAGAAAGGGGCAGGGACGAGGGTCCGCAGTTGGTGCAAAGACGCAACAACGGGATGGACCGTCAAAAAACGGACAGGATCAGTAGGTGCGGAGCACCCTACTGGTCCAGCAGCGGAAAGAGAATTTGCAGGCATCTTGACGAAGGTTGCTCCCAGCACACAAACGTTGTGCGTTGCTGCTCTAGGTAATGAGGTCTCACTCATTACCTTGAAACTCGGGTGAAACTCGAAGTGACGAATAAGTTGTCCCTTCGAGCTCTAGTCGATTGTGGGGCGTCCAACAATTTTGTGCGACGCCAATCGCTAGAATATGGTCACTCCAAGTTTGCTGAATGTGACACACCTCCTACGAGGATGACGGTACGTCTTGCGACAGGCGCATCCGTAACCGTCATGAAGCGTATAGTGAAGATCCACTATACGCTAGAAGATACCCAATATGACGATGACTTTATCGTACTGGATTTGGATGACAAATTTGATGTCATCCTTGGAATACCGTGGCTCAGTAGGTACGAACCACGGGTAAACTGGCAACATCGGACAGTAACGATGCCTGCCGCTTGTTCATCAGATGGCCATCTGATGAACGTTTTAGAGCGTCCACAAGCGTGTGGATGTACTACGAGTGAGTGCGATGGCCCCACTTGTGGTACGGTCGTTAGTACGACTGCACAAAACCTTAGTGTAACAAACGGTTACACTTCGGAGCAAAGTTCCGGCGGCTGTGAGGAAACACAGGCTGCGCCGAAGGTCCACCACTCGAATAAGTCGGGTGGACTGGGACAAAGATGTATCCCTAGAGGGGAACATCTAGAAGAGAAACAATCGATCGCTCAGGTTAAGCGAAACGATAATCCTAGATCGACTGGAGAGTCTTTCGTAGAGGATCTCGCTGTGGTTGCGCAACCCCAGCTAGAGGAAATAAAGGGAATAAGTCCCAAGATTACAAATACGGCGGAAATAAGTTCCCGAAACCCGCGGGAATAAGTCCCCGGGAAGACGAAGGAATAAGTCCTTCGAAGCCTGAGGGAATAAGTCCCCAGGAAATGACAGAGACATTGAATGTCATAGTCAATAACGGATCATGTGTAGGCGCTTATACACTTGATCTGATTGCGCCTCCGAAGTTAACTTCGGAGATCACTCAGTTGCCAACGCTCGAACATAAAAGGTTCTTGCGTGATCTGCGTAGTGGCAAAGTCAAGCAGATCTGCATACTCGTCGCTGACGACGAGTGTGTAACCGACATAAGGTCAGCAACAGTGTTTACTGAGAACGAAAGAGTTCTCAGTAGTTCATCTATGGACGAGAGTGTCCTAGATGAAAAGACACGAATTGAGCGATATGACTCCCAATCATGGGAATCGCTCAAGAAAAATCCTCTCTATGAAGATTTGGTTGAATTCAAGGATGTATTCCCTGAAACTGTTCCGTGCGAATTACCGAAGGATAAAGGCATTCGACACGAAGTCGAGCTTAAACCAGGCTCGAAGTACTGTGTCATGAAGCAGTGGCCACTGCCTCGTGAACAAGTACTTGCGATCGACAAGTTCTTTGCCGATCGTTTAGCAGCGGGCCATGTGAGGGAATCAACTTCCCCACATAGCTCTCCGACCTTCTGTGTGCGAAAAGCAACAGGAGGGTGGCGGATAGTGCACGCGTTTAACAAATTGAACGCTGCAACGGTACCGTCTCAGACGCCGATACCGAGGAAGGACGTAATCATTGATGGTATGTCAAAGAGTACCATCTTTTCGTCCATGGATTTGATGGATGGCTTCTATCAAATCCTAATGCGGGAACGGGATATACCCTATACCGCAGTTAGCACGCCCAGCGGCATGCTCTGGGAATGGCTAGTAATGCCACAAGGGCTCAGTAATGACCCTGCCACGTTCAACAGGTGTGTATCACATCTGTTGAGGCCAGTACGAGAGTTCGCGCCGAGTTATTTCGATGACGTATTCATCCATAGTAGAGCTATGGATGGAAAGTCGGACGTTGAGGTTCATAGGTACCACGTCCGACAAGTTCTTACAATCATGCGAAAGCATCAATTGTATGCAAACCTCAAGAAGTGTATATTTGCAGCAAGCGAAATACCACTTCTTGGGTGCATCGTTGGTAAGAACGGTGTACGTCCTGATCCCGAAAAGATCAAGGCGATCACCGACTGGCCTGTGCCGGTCGATGTCAAAGGTCTTCGAAAATTCCTTGGGCTAGCGGCGTATTTGCATAAGTATTCACGCAATTACGCCGAGATGACTGTACACCTCTCTCGTTTGTTGAAAAAGAACGAGAGGTGGTTATGGAACGCTGAATGTCAACGCTCCTTTGAGGGTATCAAGCAGAGCTTGATACAATCCCCAGTCCTAGCAATAGCCGATCAGGACAGGCCATTTCATGTGGTCTGTGATGCCAGTGATTTCGCAATCGGCTGTGCATTAATGCAGTACGATCTTGAAGGCGTTGAACGCGTCGTCTGCTATCAGTCGCGTCAGCTGCAACCAGCTGAGCGGAACTATCCAGTGCATGACAAGGAACTCCTTGCCATGAATTATGCACTCGCGAAGCTCAGAGTCTATCTATTAGGAGATAGACCCTTCGTTGTTTACACTGACCATGCGTCATTACGCACGGCAGTGAACAGCCCGCACCTTTCACAACGAATGGCGCGGTGGTTGTCATTCTTTGCGGAATACAACTTTACGGTCGAGTACAAACCAGGACGACTTAACGTCGTCGCTGATGCACTCTCACGTCGTCCCGACTTTGAAACAGTCGCGAAACCCAACAGCGAGACAGTCACTGTTGCGGTTATGACGTCCTCAGTCCCATCTACAATGTTGTATGATGATGTGAGGCGGGCATACGCCCAAGATGGTGAGATAGTGAAGTTGTTGTCACATCTCTCCCAACCATCCCGAGAATCGTTGAAACGATTGTCGCCTCGCGTATCGATCTGCATCAGATCGATACACTACTCGTAACGGTTTACTGTATTATACAGCCGTTTCTGGTGACACACCACGTGTTGTCATTCCAGATGATACTGATCTGCGTTTGCGGATCATGTTCGAGTATCACGATGCTCCTATAGGAGGACATCGTGGCCGAGAGAAAACATATCTCACGGTAAGTCGAGACTTTTACTGGCCCCGCCAGTATCAGTTTGTGCGAAAGTATGTTCGCGCATGCGAAGTCTGCCAACGAGTGAAGTCAAGTCCTTCACTGCGTGCACCTTTACAGCCTCTACCGGTTCCGGCTGAGTGCTGGGAATCCATCTCAATGGATTTCGTCTTCGGGTTACCCAAAGACGCACGCGGGAATACGGGTATTCTCGTATTTGTTGACAGATTCAGCAAAATGGTACACCTTGTGGCTGTACCAGAGACAATCACGGCAAGTGGCTGTGCTTGTGTCTTTATTGACACCATCTTCCGACTTCATGGGTTGCCCCGTGAACTCGTATCAGACAGAGATCCACGATTCACTGCTGATTTCTGGCGTTCCGTGTTCAAATCACTCGGAACGCGCTTGAAGATGTCAACATCTGATCATCCAGAGTCAGATGGTCAGACGGAACGCGCCAATCGTGTCCTTGAAGAGATACTTCGAGGATACGTACACTCCTTTAAGAGTTGGAGTGAGTTTTTGCCAATGGTAGAGTTTGCCATCAACAACTCGGTGCATGCGTCCACGACACATACACCGTTTTACGTGAATGGCTTGCGCCATCCGCGTGTACCCACCTTACTAGAGTGTAACTCTGGTTTAAAGGGGGGGAGGGACTCGCGCGAGCAAAAACCGATTTGGTTCACGCTCATCACGCTCTGACGAAGAAGTCATTGCGTTTGATGCCGATATCGATACCATCGATATCGAAGAAGATGATGCCAGTGAGAGTGCGGAAGCCCTCACTGAACACAATGATCCCAGTGAGAGTGCGGAAGCCCTCACTGAAGAAAAGGTTGTTGTTGCTGCAGTGTGCTCACAGCACACTGAAGCTAACGAGTCATCAGATGAGTTCATACTGGCTCGTGAAACGGTAGTCCGTTTTGTGCAAGACACCATCGCCGAAGCGGTGGATAAGCAAAAGCAAAACGCTGACAAGAATGGAAGGGCAAACACTCTTTTATTTAATAAAGGTGACTTATTCCTACTGTCTGCGGTTAATCTACCAAAGCATGTAGTGACTAACTTGGGTAGCAGTAAACTACTACCCAAGTACATTGGCCCATTTCGTGTATTGCACCGCCTAGGCAATGCATACACGATCGAGTTACCACGTAAGATGCGAACGCATCCCACGTTTTACGTTGGTCGGCTTAAGCCGTACCATCAGTACGCTGCTTCTTCCGATGAAGAACGCCCTTGCGCTCAAGCATCTCGCAGAGAGCCTTGTGCTCCCGATGGTGGGCATCAACAAGGGTCTGAAGAGCAGTTATCTCAGCCCGAGACCGATCAGCAATCCCACGAGCTACCCTTAGCTCGTCACGAAGAGATGTCAGAGATCTCTCGTTCTCAAGCTGAGCAAAGGCAAACTCAGCTCGATGCTTCGAGGCAGTGTCCGCCATTTGGAGACGCCTATTCCGCTCATGCTCGAGATCGTCGCGTAACCCTTGCGTTACGCGATCAAAGAAGCTCTCGGGAACACACACGATCCACATGATCGTGTGGAGAGCGTCTTTCCTCCTCCTCCACCTCCATTAGAGGACTCTCGCGGTGGCCAGCGCTATCTAGTTGAGCAGCTGTTGAACCACCGCGACGTGAACGGACGTCGGACGAGTTACCTCGTCCGGTGGCGCGGCTATCCCCCGTCCTGGGATTCTTGGGAGCCCCGCTCCCACTGATGGTTGACGTACTGGGTCTGGTCGAGCAGTACGACGCGGCACATCCTGTGTCGCAGAAGGACCGCCGGAGAAAGTCTTCCCGGCACGGTCGTAAAGGGATTTCAGGTTGTCAATCCCTTCGTACATCTCAGTAGAGACACGTACGCGCCACCACGGGCTGGTAATGAGGTAAGCCTCCTTAGGTGCTCGTGCAGAGTTGTTCACACAACATGGGCACGAGTCTCCCCAAGAGAGGCAGGGTAATCCTTCTCTCCCTTGACAGACGATGCAGCTTGTAGCGTGCACCTGTCGGGGTTCGCTTTTCAAACTTATCACGAGCTTTGATAAGTTTGTCGTTCCAAGCGTCACGACCTACATCCTCGAGGTTATGGATGTAGGCGTTCCACGCCTGAAGTAGTGAGGGACCATCACGTTTGTGATTCCCACTGTACCATCGATGTTTGAAGAAAGCATCGATGAAGAATTCGTGTTCAGCGCGATAGTCTTTCGCGCTGGGGTCAAGGTGATGGATCTCTGACGAATCGAACAATCGTGTTCGATAACGATCACTCGTCGTCGCCGACAAGTGATCCATGACGGATTTTGGAGGCATCCATGCCTTCTTTTCTGGAGCGAGACGCAACACATTGCGGTCCCGCTCTTCCTGCGACGTGCCGACAGAAGTACTGGCACCTCGCTGTGAAGTGGTGTCCATTGGAGAACCGACACCACTATTAGCGCCCGAGTCTCGCGACCTCGAGCGCCTTCGCTTCGGCGATGGTTCATCTGATTCATCAGATGAACCAAAGATGCTGCGACGCAAAGCATCGTCCATGCCACGCTTGGCAGGCGGCTTAGATTCAATCGCCGTCGATACGGATCCGTCATCCGTATCAGGAGAGTACGAGACACCGAGCTCGTACTCTGTGAAGACACGAGTGTCTTCATGACCAGCGCCTGCGTCACCAAGTGACACAGGCTGGGTCGCTTCAGCAACCGATGGGACATCAGTTGCTGTTGTTTCTGCTTCGGCGTCCGCACAGAGACGTGCAGACGCGCTCTCGGCGGCCTTGCTCGCGCATCGCATGGGCTTGTTTACCATGCGATGAAATGTTGGAAAGTGGACGCGGACCAACAAGTGCAAACCCTGTCCCAAATGATTTGGGACGAGTATCCATTTAGTCAATCAGTCACTAAAGTGACTGATGGTTAAGGGGGGGGTGATGTAACGGGGTGAATCGTTACATAACAATTTATAATAAATTGTTAATAGAATATAACTATAAGAGTTATATTCTCAGAATATTGTCATAAGGACAAATATTCTGTAGCACTTACAGGTAGTTCCTAATTGGTTGATATAGGCCATTATATCAACCAACGAAGACGCGCCACGACAGACGCACGCAATGAGTGGTGAGCAGATAATTGATTTACACATTTGTATTTAGACATAGTTAGATGAAGATAAATAGTGATTTATTGCAGACATTAACTATTATAAATACAGTTCTACTTTTTACTCTAACCAAGTACTCGCTTCTTCTTACCGTCTTCCTCTGCACGTACGAGTGTACGTGACGTTACGAGGCACCGCCTTATTCTGTTATCAGAATAAGTAGCTTGTACTGTCACCAGTACAAGCTTCAGGGTGCCCCGTTACAGCTACTGTCGACATTCCGGCATTATCGTACGCGTGTATGATCAGCGTCCAAGCGTCCGAAATCGTCAGGTATGCTCGGGCTGCCCTTTACAAAAGACAAAGGAGAAATCGTTGGAGCTCACCCTTTGATAGAGTAATTCAGTCCAGAGAACTCAATCAAGTTTTGAAAACTTACGTATTCATTCCGGGTGATTGGCGACCAGGGAATGGATCGTGTTGTGTGTTACTCGGTAGAAGTGCTGACGAATTGTCGTGTGTAAAAGCTACTTATTCATGTTGTCGATCAATTGTAGCTACTCGCTGATATTGCTGATGTGTTGTACAGACGAATATGAAGAAAGAGAGGCGCAATCAACAACAAACTGTGGCCGGCGGCATCTGATTATTAATAGTAACTCTTTTTCTGTAGGTGGAGTGGGTACATGTAGCAAATCTAACGACCACCTGCTGCCCTCTTCGCCGGGCCAACACATCCCCTACCGGATGGCCACAACTTGCTGGATTCTCTAGAGGCCAGCCAAGTCCAGGGTCCCCGACTATTTGATCTCGAAGATTTACGCTTCTACGAGAGGCCAAGCTCATTGTTACCGGGGGCCCCGGGTGGTACAACTGAGACTAATTGATCACACACGCGTTGTTCAACGATCTTGGGTTGGTCGTTAGCGGGGTCAATCTGGCAATCATTTGGATTGGATTGGAACGGCGGTGCTGACCCAGGACACCAGGTGGGAACCCATTGCTATCCGTAGACACACATTGTAACGGGGCACCCTGAAGCTTGTACTGGTTACAGTACAAGCTACTTATTCTGATAACAGAATAAGGCGGTGCCTCGTAACTTCACGTACACTCGTACGTGCAGAGGAAGACGGTAAGAAGAAGCGAGTACTTGGTTAGAGTAAAAAGTAGAACTGTATTTATAATAGTTAATGTCTGCAATAAATCACTATTTATCTTCATCTAACTATGTCTAAGTACAAATGTGTAAATTAGTTATCTGCTCACCACTCATTGCGTGCGTCTGTCGTGGCGCGTCTTCGTTGGTTGATATAATGGCCTATATCAACCAATTAGGAACTACCTGTAAGTGCTACAGAATATTTGTCCTTATGACAATATTCTGAGAATATAACTCTTATAGTTATATTCTATTAACAATTTCTTATAAATTGTTATGTAACGATTCACCCCGTTACATCACCCCCCCCTTAACCATCAGTCACTTTAGTGACTGATTGACTAAATGGATACTCGTCCCAAATCATTTGGGACAGGGTTTGCACTTGTTGGTCCGCGTCCACTTTCCAACATCTCATCGCATGGTTAACAAGCCCATGCGATGCTCGAGCAAGGCCGCCGAGAGCGCGTCTGCACGTCTCTGTGCGGACGCCGAAGCAGAAACAACAGCAACTGATGTCCCATCGGTTGCTGAAGCGACTCAGCCTGTATCACCTGGTGATGCAGGCGCTGGTCATGAAGACACTCGTGTCTTCACATAGTACGAGCTCGGTGTCTCGTACTCTCCTGATACGGATGACGGATCCGTATCGACGACGATCGAATCCAAGCCGCCTGCCAAGCGTGGCATGGACGATGCTTTGCGTCGCAGCATCTTCGGTTCATCTGATGAATCAGATGAACCATCGCCGAAGCGAAGGCGCTCGAGGTCGCGAGACTCGGGCGCTAATAGTGGTGTCGGTTCTCCAATGGACACCACTTCACAGCGAGGTGCCAGTACTTCTGTCGGCACGTCGCAGGAAGAGCGGGACCGCAATGTGTTGCGTCTCGCTCCAGAAAAGAAGGCATGGATGCCTCCAAAATCCGTCATGGATCACTTGTCGGCGACGACGAGTGATCGTTATCGAACACGATTGTTCGATTCGTCAAGGATCCATCACCTTGACCCCAGCGCGAAAGACTATCGCGCTGAACACGAATTCTTCATCGATGCTTTCTTCAAACATCGATGGTACAGTGGGAATCACAAACGTGATGGTCCCTCACTACTTCAGGCGTGGAACGCCTACATCCATAACCTCGAGGATGTAGGTCGTGACGCTTGGAACGACAAACTTATCAAAGCTCGTGATAAGTTTGAAAAGCGAACCCCCACAGGTGCACGCTACAAGCTGCATCGTCTGTAAAGGGAGAAAGGATTACCCTGCCTCTCTTGGGGAGACTCGTGCCCATGTTGTGTGAACAACTCTGCACGAGCACCTAAGGAGGCTTACCTCCTTACCAGCCCGTGGTGGCGCGTACGTGTCTCTACTGAGATGTACGAAGGGATTGACAACCTGAAATCCCTTTACGACCGTGCCGGGAAGACTTTCTCCGGCGGTCCTTCTGCGACACAGGATGTGCCGCGTCGTACTGCTCGACCAGACCCAGTACGTCAACCATCAATTGGGAGCGGGGCTCCCAAGAATCCCAGGACGGGGGATAGCCGCGCCACCGGACGAGGTAACTCGTCCGACGTCCGTTCACGTCGCGGTGGTTCAACAGCTGCTCAACTAGATAGCGCTGGCCACCGCGAGAGTCCTCTAATGGAGGTGGAGGAGGAGGAAAGACGCTCTCCACACGATCATGTGGATCGGTGTGTTCCCGAGAGCTTCTTCGATCGCGTAACGCAAGGGTTACGCGACGATCTCGAGCATGAGCGAAATAGGCGTCTCCAAATGGCGGACACTGCCTCGAAGCATCGAGCTGAGTTTGCCTTTGCTCAGCTCGAGAACGAGAGATCTCTGACATCTCTTCGTGACGAGCTAAGGGTAGCTCGTGGGATTGTTGATCGGTCTCGGGCTGAGATAACTGCTCTTCAGACCCTTGTTGATGCCCACCATCGGGAGCACAAGGCTCTCTGCGAGATGCTTGAGCGCAAGAGCGTTCTTCATCGGAAGAAGCAGCGTACAGATGGTACGGCTTAAGCCGACCAACGTAAAACGTGGGATGCGTTCGCATCTTACGTGGTAACTCGATCGTGTATGCATTGCCTAGGCGGTGCGATACACGAAAAGGGCCGATGTACTTGGGTAGTAGTTTACTGCTACCCAAGTTAGTCACTACATGCTTTGGTAGATTAACCGTAGACAGTAGGATTAAGTCACCTTTGTTAAATAAAAGAGTGTTTGCCCTTCCATTCTTGTCAGCGTTTTGCTTTTGCTTGTCCACCGCTTCGACGATGGAGTCTTACACAAAGCAGACTACCGTTTCACGAGCCAGTATGAACTCATCTGATGACTCGTTAGCTTCAGTGTGCTGTGAGCGCACTGCAGCAACAACAACCTTTTCTTCAGTGAGGGCTTCCGCACTCTCACTGGGATCATTGTGTTCAGTGAGGGCTTCCGCACTCTCACTGGCATCATCTTCTTCGATATCGATGGTATCGATATCGGCATCAAACGCAATGACTTCTTCGTCAGAGCGTGATGAGCGTGAACCAAATCGGTTTTTGCTCGCGCGAGTCCCTCCCCCCCTTTAAACCAGAGTTACACTCTAGTAAGGTGGGTACACGCGGATGGCGCAAGCCATTCACGTAAAACGGTGTATGTGTCGTGGACGCATGCACCGAGTTGTTGATGGCAAACTCTACCATTGGCAAAAACTCACTCCAACTCTTAAAGGAGTGTACGTATCCTCGAATTATCTCTTTAAGGACACGATTGGCACGTTCCGTCTGACCATCAGACTCTGGATGATCAGATGTTGACATCTTCAAGCGCGTTCCGAGTGATTCGAACACGGAGCGCCAGAAATCAGCAGGGAATAGTGGATCTCTGTCTGATACGAGTTCACGAGGCAACCCATGAAGTCGGAAGATGGTGTCAATAAAGACACAAGCACAGCCACTTGCCGTGATTGTCTCTGGTACAGCCACAAGGTGTACCATTTTGCTGAATCTGTCAACAAATACGAGATCACCGTATTCCCGCGTGCGTCTTTGGGTAACCCGAAGACGAAGTCCATTGAGATGGATTCCTATCACTCAGCCGGAACCGGTAGAGGCTGTAAAGGTGCACGCAGTGAAGGACTTGACTTCACTCGTTGACAGACTTCGCATGCGCGAACATACTTTCGCACAAACTGATACTGGCGGGGCCAGTAAAAGTCTCGACTTACCGTGAGATATGTTTTCTCTCGGCCACGATGTCCTCCTACAGGAGCATCGTGATACTCGAACATGATCCGCAAACGCATATCAGTGTCGTCTGGAATGACAACACGTGGTGTGTCACCAGAAACGGCTGTATAATACAGTAAACCGTTACGAGTAGTGTATCGATCTAATGTAGATCGATACGCAGACGATAATCGTTTCAACGATTCTCGGGATGGTTGGGAGAGATGTGACAACAACTTCCCTATCTCACCATCTTGGGCGTATGCCCGCCTCACATCATCATACAACGTTGTAGATGGGACTGAGGACGTCATAACCGCAACAGTGACTGTCTCGCTGTTGGGTTTCGCGACTGTTTCAAAGTCGGGACGACGTGAGAGTGCATCAGCAACGACATTAAGTCGTCCTGGTTTGTACTCGACCGTAAAGTTGTATTCCGCAAAGAATGACAACCACCGCGCCATTCGTTGAGAAAGGTGCGGGCTGTTCACTGCCGTGCGTAATGACGCACGGTCAGTGTAAACAACGAAGGGTCTATCTCCTAATAGATAGACTCTGAGCTTCGCGAGTGCATAATTCATGGCAAGGAGTTCCTTGTCATGCACTGGATAGTTCCGCTCAGCTGGTTGCAGCTGACGCGACTGATAGCAGATGACGCGTTCAACGCCTTCATGATCGTACTGCATTAGTGCACAGCCGATTGCGAAATCGCTGGCATCACAGACCACATGAAATGGCCTGTCCTGATCGGATATTGCTAGGACTGGGGATTGTATCAAGCTCTGCTTGATACCCTCAAAGGAGCGTTGACATTCAGCGTTCCATAACCACCTCTCGTTCTTTTTCAACAAACGAGAGAGGTGTACAGTCATCTCGGCGTAATTGCGTGAATACTTATGCAAATACGCCGCTAGCCCAAGGAATTTTCGAAGACCTTTGACATCGACCGGCACAGGCCAGTCGGTGATCGCCTTGATCTTTTCGGGATCAGGACGTACACCGTTCTTACCAACGATGCACCCAAGAAGTGGTATTTCGCTTGCTGCAAATATACACTTCTTGAGGTTTGCATACAATTGATGCTTTCGCATGATTGTAAGAACTTGTCGGACGTGGTACCTATGAACCTCAACGTCCGACTTTCCATCCATAGCTCTACTATGGATGAATACGTCATCGAAATAACTCGGCGCGAATTCTCGTACTGGCCTCAACAGATGTGATACACACCTGTTGAACGTGGCAGGGGCATTACTGAGCCCTTGTGGCATTACTAGCCATTCCCAGAGCATGCCGCTAGGCGTGCTAACTGCAGTATAGGGTATATCCCGTTCCCGCATAAGGATTTGATAGAAGCCATCCATCAAATCCATGGACGAAAAGATGGTACTCTTTGACATACCATCAATGATTACGTCCTTCCTCGGTATCGGCGTCTGAGACGGTACCGTTGCAGCGTTCAATTCGTTGAACGCGTGCACTATCCGCCACCCTCCTGTTGCTTTTCGCACACAGAAGGTCGGAGAGCTATGTGGGGAAGTTGATTCCCTCACATGGCCCGCAGCTAAACGATCGGCAAAGAACTTGTCGATCACAAGTACTTGTTCACGAGGCAGTGGCCACTGCTTCATGACACAGTACTTCGAGCCTGGTTTAAGCTCGACTTCGTGTCGAATGCCTTTATCCTTCGGTAATTCGCACGGAACAGTTTCAGGGAATACATCCTTGAATTCAACCAAATCTTCATAGAGAGGATTTTTCTTGAGCGATTCCCATGATTGGGAGTCATATCGCTCAATTCGTGTCTTTTCATCTAGGACACTCTCGTCCATAGATGAACTACTGAGAACTCTTTCGTTCTCAGTAAACACTGTTGCTGACCTTATGTCGGTTACACACTCGTCGTCAGCGACGAGTATGCAGATCTGCTTGACTTTGCCACTACGCAGATCACGCAAGAACCTTTTATGTTCGAGCGTTGGCAACTGAGTGATCTCCGAAGTTAACTTCGGAGGCGCAATCAGATCAAGTGTATAAGCGCCTACACATGATCCGTTATTGACTATGACATTCAATGTCTCTGTCATTTCCTGGGGACTTATTCCCTCAGGCTTCGAAGGACTTATTCCTTCGTCTTCCCGGGGACTTATTCCCGCGGGTTTCGGGGAACTTATTTCCGCCGTATTTGTAATCTTGGGACTTATTCCCTTTATTTCCTCTAGCTGGGGTTGCGCAACCACAGCGAGATCCTCTACGAAAGACTCTCCAGTCGATCTAGGATTATCGTTTCGCTTAACCTGAGCGATCGATTGTTTCTCTTCTAGATGTTCCCCTCTAGGGATACATCTTTGTCCCAGTCCACCCGACTTATTCGAGTGGTGGACCTTCGGCGCAGCCTGTGTTTCCTCACAGCCGCCGGAACTTTGCTCCGAAGTGTAACCGTTTGTTACACTAAGGTTTTGTGCAGTCGTACTAACGACCGTACCACAAGTGGGGCCATCGCACTCACTCGTAGTACATCCACACGCTTGTGGACGCTTTAAAACGTTCATCAGATGGCCATCTGATGAACAAGCGGCAGGCATCGTTACTGTCCGATGTTGCCAGTTTACCCGTGGTTCGTACCTACTGAGCCACGGTATTCCAAGGATGACATCAAATTTGTCATCCAAATCCAGTACGATAAAGTCATCGTCATATTGGGTATCTTCTAGCGTATAGTGGATCTTCACTATACGCTTCATGACGGTTACGGATGCGCCTGTCGCAAGACGTACCGTCATCCTCGTAGGAGGTGTGTCACATTCAGCAAACTTGGAGTGACCATATTCTAGCGATTGGCGTCGCACAAAATTGTTGGACGCCCCACAATCGACTAGAGCTCGAAGGGACAACTTATTCGTCACTTCGAGTTTCAAGGTAATGAGTGAGACCTCATTACCTAGAGCAGCAACGCACAACGTTTGTGTGCTGGGAGCAACCTTCGTCAAGATGCCTGCAAATTCTCTTTCCGCTGCTGGACCAGTAGGGTGCTCCGCACCTACTGATCCTGTCCGTTTTTTGACGGTCCATCCCGTTGTTGCGTCTTTGCACCAACTGCGGACCCTCGTCCCTGCCCCTTTCTCATGGGTGGACGGTCACTACGCCCAGTGTCGCGAGACACTGGACGAGGGGCACTACACTCGTAAGCGTAGTGTCCTGTCTTTTGACATCTGTTGCATCTCTGCAACTTCTTGTAGCCTGTAGAGCGAGCCTTCTCGCTCTCTACATAACAGAGTTCCATCGGCTCTGGACCTCCGTTGTCATATCGTCTCGGTTGACGATATGATGTCGAGCTGGCGCGAGCCTGTCTCAGACTGAAGTCTTCCTGCTCCGCAATGGAAATGGCTTGTTCTAGTGAATCTAGTTCAAGCCGGAACAGGTGAGTCTTGACGGGACCATCCGCAAGACCCTGCATGAACACCGAAACCAACGTGTGTTCATCCACCGGATTGGAACTTATACAACTCGTGAGATGTCGTATGTGTTGAGCGTAAGCGTGCACATCACGCTTACCCTGCTTGAGCTTCAAGAGTTCAGTTCGAGCCCTGAACTCAGCTCTAGGCGGTTCAAACGTTTGTCTGAGCCGCGACTTGAAGACTTCCAACGACCCAAACGCATATGGGTCGTGCAACTTGAGCCCCAGTGCCCAAGTCTTGGCACGTCCTGCCAGATTTGACTGGGCAAATGCAACTTGCATATCCCCGTCGTCGATGCGACGCGCCCTTATGGCGTCATCTAATTCGACGAACCATCTCAAGAGGGAGTCTTCTTCGACCCCTCTATACTTTGAGATGTCAATCTTCAAAGTCTCGGGCCGACGCGAGTGCATCGACCCGCCAGCAGCAGCCTGCTGCTGTCTCAACAGTTCAAACTGTTGAGCACCCTGTTCTCTCAACAACTCTGCTTGTTGAGAACCTTGTTGGTGAAGCAAGGCTACTTTCTCGCGTTCTGCGTCAAGTTCATTTTGGATGAACTTGGCGATAGTAGCATGTTGGGCATCTCTATTGAGAGCCTCTAGCATGACGCTAACAGCATGGATGCCCATGGTCGAGCCCATTCGTTCAACCGCATCCCATTCGACATCGCTCAAATGGGAGTAGCCGTCACGCGTAGCGTGAAAGCTTTGGTCATCTTCATCATCCAACATATTCATGTTGGATGCGAACGCGGTCCTTGGACGGACTACGAAGTGCTACCAGGTGTAACGGGGCACCCTGAAGCTTGTACTGGTTACAGTACAAGCTACTTATTCTGATAACAGAATAAGGCGGTGCCTCGTAACTTCACGTACACTCGTACGTGCAGAGGAAGACGGTAAGAAGAAGCGAGTACTTGGTTAAAGTAAAAAGTAGAACTGTATTTATAATAGTTAATGTCTGCAATAAATCACTATTTATCTTCATCTAACTATGTCTAAATACAAATGTGTAAATCAGTTATCTGCTCACCACTCATTGCGTGCGTCTGTCGTGGCGCGTCTTCGTTGGTTGATATAATGGCCTATATCAACCAATTAGGAACTGCTTGTAAGTGCTACATAATATTTGTCCTTATGACAATATTCTGAGAATATAACTCTTATAGTTATATTCTCTTAACAATTTCTTATAAATTGTTATGTAACGATTCACCCCGTTACACATATAGATAAGGACAGATCCACAGACCGTACGTTTTACACGTTTGGTATTCAATTTGCGCACAACCACTGATAGCTCCACCCTTCGAGCTCACGATAATCCTAAGGCCTGGTTAACATATACTATTGTCGATTTAGTTGAATACGCGTGTAGCCACTTTATTTGACACCGATTGAGCCAAAAGGACTGAAGGGCCAGGAACACGGTTGGAATCATCGACGCATTAGCCACAACAATGTGTTGCTGATGCAGGATCTGACTGACTTGAACCAGAGAGAGGTGGCGATACCGCTTACGTCCTTTTACGCTGCTAAGGAATGCGTGAATCGAACACTGACGGACTATGCCGGGACCTCGTCACGTATTTCGGTCAGTCTGAAATACGTAACGACACTTCAGAGCATTGTGCCATGCTATGTCGTTTCGTGCGTACAGGTGACTACATGTCTACGGTAAGTGAGCCAAACTGCCGCCGGACATCGCCGATGGGTTTGTGTCAGAGTCGGCGGAGGACTCAAATGCGCAGAAGTGCGTTTTGTACTTCTGTACAGATGATTACACGGTCTTTTGCAGCCGACGAGTTATGAACATAGGCGCGTTGAGAAGGCACATTATATCGATTTGGTTTGTTGAGTTTTTGCATGATTTGCAGGGAGTGAAGCATTAAAACAGACATTTTTAGGTTATGTTGGTGGACTGTTTGCTTGTAACATGAGTTCTATCGAGGTTCTGTGGTCGTTCTTAGCTGCCGCGTGGTCCGAGTGTACGGCGTTGGGCACTACAGACTCTAAATTTGATCAGCACTGCACGGACCAAGCGCGGGATCATCCATGCAACGCTCAACTTGTCGCTCGGTCCTTGTGTACGTAATTGCTGCTCATTTCCCGCTGCGCTTAGAGCTTAATCACACGCATGACGTCGAGGTACAGAATTTGCTCAGTAGGAAATTCTTCATGCCATCGGTGCTAACAGGTCAGTGCTACCAAGTCACGACTGATCAAACGACCCTCGATGTATGCTGACTCCCGAGGATCACAGTATCGTCAAAAACCAAGGTGTTCTACCAAAGAGATGTATCCGTAAGGCAAAAAGACCCAAGAATAGACACATTAGATCACGAGGAAAAGCAGCTGGCGACTAGGTTTTTAGACCGTACCAGTGCGGGAAGTGTGTGAGCACTATTGGCATCAGTCTAGCTCTCTAGCCTCAGCGTGCCGTAGCATGTCCTAAGTCATTATACGTACTTCAAACGTGTTCGTACCAAATTGAGGTAGTGGCGAGCCATGTATGTTCTATACAATCTGCAGGTAGGACGCATCTTTTGTACAGCACAATTGAAAGGAAACTACGGAGTCAGCCATCGGGAAGACATCATCATCGCTACTACTTGGTGAGTACGCATAGCTGCTCCACCACAACTACACTATGTAGCTACTGTCGTGAAGAAGTAGCTGCGTAGGCTCAGCGAAGGTATTGCAGACAAAACTACAAATAAGCCGCGTGACATCCGCATAATCCTCGCCATCTCAAAGTTGCGAAATTCGTTTAGCTGCTGTATCAGACGTGACGACCGTTGTTTATGTGCATGCGTACAAGATATTCAATGTCTCATTCTCGACCGTTTCCTCGTCGCGACGGATACCAGCACAGTCGAGTATGTGCTGGTATTCGATCCGAGGACCCCATGTTCTACATGAAAATGTGTTCTGTCCATGAGCGTCATGTAACAACACGTTACCGGCAGCAAAAATCACTGCAGTATCTCGTGTTTGGGTTCTTTCAAGTCGGTGACCTGGCATCTGTCTGTAGGCACTCGAGCGGTGTCTGTACACGCAGAACCCTGAACTGACATGCAGATTCTATCAAAGCAAGACTGGGATATTACCGAAAAGTGCGACGAGGTGAACGACCGTACAACGGTAGAATATTCTCTGATCTTCTGGCTTGTGTTTGCGTCTACCACTATATAGACGTTGTCTTAAACAGCACTTACGTATCACAAGAGCGTCAATGTGGAACATCGATCAAGACATTCGAGTCGCACCCTACGGTCAGTAAGTCTACTCAGCGATTTTCGAGACGGACCACTCTTTTTACTTGTTAGACCAAGCGCAGTAGATTTTAATTGCTGCACAAAACCCACGAACTGAAAGCTTTGATGTCTTTGCAGCGTAAGGATAGAAGCTATCACATATTTCTATGATGATGAAGAAATTGGGAACAAGTGTCATACGCGACTAAGTACACTGGCAAAAGCCGACATTGACTTGTTTAACCACAGGATTGAAGGTTTGGCATGAGATGGCTATCACTACATTGACATTTAAATTGCCACTACATGCGTACACCATGTCCAGGCCACGATCAAATCCCCATCTAGGCGTACTTCTTCTCAGGCAGATCGTATGCCGCCATCTCGTTCATCACGTCGTTTGCTCTCGAGTCGCCACTTTTTGGGTTGCAACCAATGAAACCAGGCATGGGATGAACGAGCCCGAGAAAGCCGAACGAGCACGATACCACGCCCACGACCGTACTGGTTACCGTTCCATGCGGCCAAAGCAGACATCGAACAGTCGATGTCCACACGAGTAAATCTCGAAAGTCACATACGTTTGCGCTCTAGCCGATAGACCTTCTTGATTCACACGAACATAATTATCAAATACTAGTATGACATCTCAGCGTACACAGACACGAATGAGCCTCAGAAGGTATGCGATACCCGGTCCCGTGGTAGAACACGGGCTGTGCGACCTACACCAAAATGGGCACTTGGCCACGCCGATGAGATTCATACTTTTTTCAGGAAGACTAAGTAGCAAGTCGACCAACTTCGCACTCGCTACCGACAAATGGTAGAGCCTCGCGCCGACGATATTCGCACACAAGTAGTCGGCAGTGCAGCGTCGAATGACGCTCGATCCACTCGACACCTGCTCGAGCCAGCGTTTGTGTGCCGTTACGGTTATAAACACACATGAAACGCCTCGGTGCTCAACTGAGCAGCAGAAGATTGTGAAGCAGCTAAACAGTTGAAGTACCCGACTACATAGTACAAGAACACGCCTGTCAGTGCGAGCAATCGCAAGCGCACTGTGCACCATTATAAGCGCTAAGCGAGCGCCGGACCGTTTGCATTTAGCGGAATACAGCAATAGCGTTCCATTTTCGTTCACATCGACCTTCGCGCTACTCGTGCCCCATCAACGGACTGCTTACCATGGCCTGAACATCGCCAACGAAAACTTCAGCACATTCGTGTCTCGTTCACTTCGTTCTTTGTCAAGCTGCGGCAATTGCAAATTAGCCAAGGACACCAGCGCCATGTGGTGGAAGAGTCTCACAGTCAATATTCGTCTGCTTACATGCGCTGTGATATAGCACAAATTCGACGAGTTCTTGAGCTCGCCATACACAGTACTGACTTGACGAAGCAAGTTTTGCGATCTGCGATCCTGTCTTTGTCGACACCCCTCGCACCTATGAGTACGACCACACGCCTTGAGTCGGTTTTCGATAGCGCCGCATACAACTGAAGCTTTCACAATGGATGGCAGCATTTAGAAGAATTGAAGATCCTGATCAACGATGTCGGAGGCGTATACGGGAGTCTAACCCATAGCGCATGTGCGGCTGTATTTCGGTCTCTCGAGAGCTCCGACAGCATTTTATCTCAGAGTCCACGAGATTAGAGTGAACATGCGCATCTATATCTAGTAGTCCAAGACCAGGCCGATCACGATAATTGTATTTGACAACAGCGGTAATGAGCTCACAGACGCCGAAGCAGAGGCTGTCCAAGGGGGTACGTCACAAAAGTCCGCGCCAAACTGCTACCGCAACCACCAACCAAGAAATCAGATACGGCAGACGTTGGTGTCGTAACGTGGCCGCGTGCTTCTGCATACCGAATTTATAGCGCAACACTCTTTTGGTCAAAACGAGCGCATCCACGAAGTCGTGGAGGGCTCGTTACAAAGCTCCTCTATCGTGTAAGACGTTAAACTCTGTTGCTGACCAGATCATGCATAATGGCTCTGGCATCTGGTCGGCTGGGATCGATTTTTATCATTTGCAGCAGTTCATTCGCTGGGAGCCCACCAACCACTGGAATCGCTCGCTCTGTGTCAGAAACTGCCTTTTTGGCGGTGGCTCGATGTCGCAAACTGCTCTTGTGGATAGGAACTACGTGAAACTGGCGGGAACCTATAGTTTATGCACTTGACGATTGCAACCCAGATTCGGCAGGAACAATCTTTCAATTCCCGCACGTTGCTGATGATTGGCATCAGCTGCGCTCCAGGCAAGATTTGATTGTGACCTAGCATGTGGATCCGTCCTTGTGAGTGTTCCTAGACCGCCATCATAGCGAGGGTGTCTTCTTGTATCTATGTTCTTGTGCAATTCTATTGATCCCGGCCCACTTGCAAGTTAACCAGCTGAAGTGCACGTTGAACACAACGTAATCTTTTGATCTCGGCTCAATCATGTTGGCATCTTCGCTTTCCAAATATCGGTCAGCTTGCTTCCAAACGAGCGACATGAATTCTCTTAAAGAGCCTTGGGTTCTCCATCTTTTTTCGTGCTTACTGGGGCCACTTCGGCTGGATCAGCTGGATGGGGAGATGAACTTGTCTGCGACGAAAAGGCAGCTGAAAAAGCTGATCGCAGATCCGCATAGTTCGAATGGGCGATGCAAATTGACGTACGGCACGACGGAACTGTAAATTCTAAGCAATACAAGGAGCAGCGCTATAATTGACTGGTGGGTGGCTTTGTCCCCTTAAACCATCCCGGCCTACTACGACGCTTGGCTGGCTTAAGTTCGCCATTCCTCATTCTGCCAAGCCGTCAACAGACCGACTCCTCCTCCTGTCCCGCGATGCGAGTGTACACGCTCGACACCGTTGCCATCGCTGCCATCCTTGCGCTCGCCAACACTCCGGCAGTCGTGTCCGCAGCTGTCGTCAATTCCCCATCGGGTTCGCCTGGCGCTGCCCACGACTCCGCCGTCACGGAGAGGGGGTTGCGGTCTGCCAAACATGAGAGCGGTGAAGAAAGGTTCGTGTGGCCGTACCGCTACGCGTTTTCGTGGGACGAACACCTGGCTGCAAACCGTGACCGGCTCATCAGTCTGATACACAGTTCACAAGAGCCTTGGGCGCTCACTCAGCTTATAAAGAAATTGAGATTCGTGCGTACAGACGAAGCAGCACATACTCGATCCATGGATGATGCTCTGAAGTTACTGATGAAGGTGGGCGGGGACCCTGCTGCGGCGGAATCGGCAAGTATCGCGACACGTAATGGGCATTTCTCCGGGGCTAAGGAGACAATGCTGGACCGCCTATCGGCTCTATGGGTGCAAAGGAAAGAAAATCCGGAGAGCCTTTTTCGCGCTCTAAAGCTTGACGAGGACCGTGACTCAATCAATGTGAACCGACTGATGGCACTCGACAACTTTATTGGCAAACTGGAGGGCGAGGACGTGTCGCTAATCCGAATGCTGCTTTGGCACTACTACGATGATAGACTATTGTCTCGACTGTTGGCCAGAAATTCTTGGAAGGAGATGGCGGCGAAATGGTAGTGAGATTGCTGAAAGAGATGTTGGGTGACTGGCAGAACCTCAATATTCATGTGAAGCAGTTGGCCGAGATGATGGAAGGAACGAAAACACGCATGGCTCCGAGAAAAGACGGGCAACAGAGCAGCAAAAGGCAGATCTCAGACGAGGAGTTTGGCTCGTTCATCGCGGATGCGTACAAGGCATTTCTTGAAAAGAACAAGCGAACTGATCTGCTGGAAACGAAGTAGCGGACTGTGGAAGCTGCCGGTCGGGAAACATGGTCGTGGGACGAGGAGCATGGCCTTGGCGGTATATGGAAGCTAGGAAACGTGCGTATGCGAAGCACTTGCCGGCACCCGAAGCTCGAGGTCAGGGAGCCTCTAGACTCGCTGCTACTGCACGGGAAGAAGCAAAGGAGGAGTCAGTGAAGCTTGAAGTAGACGTTTGTGTTCTTTCTATTTGAGTGACTAATTGTAAGCGCTTTGCTTTGTCATTTCTGCTAGCTGCACCTTCTGGGTCAAGCACCGGGTGAATAACGGTTTCGAATGCTCTACAGGTCGAGGCCTCACGATCTCGGCGCAGCTGCAGTCGAGAACGATAATGCTTGAATGAATGCATTTTGCTCATGCAGCCTTAAATGTGAGACGTGGTAGATCCATTTATCGACATGACAAACAATGAGACGACAAAGCTATCTGCGCTTCTCCCTCGAGAAGGAAAGATCGCATTGTGGCGGACTTCGGCTCTACATTTTGTCCTCATTCCCCACCTCTTGTATGTTGAAGTGTAGCTTGTTGTCAGTGGCTTCTACGATTATTCATTCTAGATCAACTTGCTATCGCTGGCGTGGTGCACGTTTGTCAAGGAGTCCGAATCAATCGATGGAGTCGCCCACCTTTGGCACTAAACGAATACTTGCGAGCTCGAACGGTGGAGCTGTTATTGCGAGCCAGACGGTGAAGCTCTGATTAATTGTGCACAAAGTGTTACGGGGTGAGTTTGTTACATATAGTTAACTCTGATACTTTTTAATTTGAATATTATCATAAAGGTTGATAATGTTCTTGAATATTACATTAAGGGGTAGTATATCGAAGCACTCACCAATTGACTGATATGGGCCATCTTGTCAGCAAGCTCGAGCGGTACAATCAACGATGGACGCGCGCAACGGGGTGAGCAAGACGTATGCATACACTTTAGTCGATAAATATAACTTATTTAAGAATCAACATAATTCATGTAATTAAAGCTAAATACTATTTAAAACAGTCTTACTTCCTATGTAACGGGGCACCCTGAAGCTTGTACTGGTGACAGTACAAGCTACTTATTCTGATAACAGAATAAGGCGGTGCCTCGTAACTTCACGTACACTCGTACGTGCAGAGGAAGACGGTAAGAAGAAGCGAGTACTCGGTTAGAGTAAAAAGTAGAACTGTATTTATAATAGTTAATGTCTGCAATAAATCACTATTTATCTTCATCTAACTATGTCTAAATACAAATGTGTAAATCAGTTATCTGCTCACCACTCATTGCGTGCGTCTGTCGTGGCGCGTCTTCGTTGGTTGATATAATGGCCTATATCAACCAATTAGGAACTACTTGGAAGTGCTACCGAATATTGTCCTTATGACAATATTCTGAGAATATAACTCTTATAGTTATATTCTATTAACAATTTCTTATAAATTGTTATGTAACGATTCACCCCGTTACATCACCCCCCTTAACCATCAGTCACTTTAGTGACTGATTGACTAAATGGATACTCGTCCCAAATCATTTGGGACGGGGTTTGCACTTGTTGGTCCGCGTCCACTTTCCAACATCTCATCGCATGGTAAACAAGCCCATGCGATGCGCGAGCAAGGCCGCCGAGAGCGCGTCTGCACGTCTCTGTGCGGACGCCGAAGCAGAAACTACAGCAACTGATGTCCCATCGGTTGCTGAATCGACTCAGCCTGTATCACCTGGTGATGCAGGCGCTGGTCATGAAGACACTCGTGTCTTCACAGAGTACGAGCTCGGTGTCTCGTACTCTCCTGATACGGATGACGGATCCGTATCGACGGCAATTGAATCCAAGCCGCCTGCCAAGCGTGGCATGGACGATGCTTTGCGTCGCAGCATCTTTGGTTCATCTGATGAGTCAGATGAACCATCGCCGAAGCGAAGGCGCTCGAGGTCGCGAGACTCGGGCGCTAATAGTGGTGTCGTTTCTCCAATGGACACCACTTCACAGCGAGGTGCCAGTACTTCTGTCGGCACGTCGCAGGAAGAGCGGGACCGCAATGTGTTGCGTCTCGCTCCAGAAAAGAAGGCATGGATGCCTCCTAAATCTGTCATGGATCACTTGTCGGCGACGACGAGTGATCGTTATCGAACACGATTGTTCGATTCGTCAAGGATTCATCACCTTGACCCCAGCGCGAAAGACTATCGCGCTGAACATGAGTTCTTCATCGATGCTTTCTTCAGACATCGATGGTACAGTGGGAATCACAAACGTGATGGTCCCTCACTACTTCAGGCGTGGAACGCCTACATCCATAATCTCGAGGATGTAGGTCGTGACGCTTGGAACGACAAACTTATCAAAGCTCGTGATAAGTTTGAAAAGCGAACCCCGACAGGTGCACGCTATAAGCTGCATCGTCTGTCAAGGGAGGAAGGATTACCCTGCCTCTCTTGGGGAGACTCGTGCCCATGTTGTGTGAACAACTCTGCACGAGCACCTAAGGAGGCTTACCTCCTTACCAGCCCGTGGTGGCGCGTACGTGTCTCTACTGAGATGTACGAAGGGATTGACAACCTGAAATCCCTTTACGACCGTGCCGGGAAGACTTTCTCCGGCGGTCCTTCTGCGGCACAGGATGTGTCGCGTCGTACTGCTCGACCAGACCCAGTACGTCAACCATCAATTGGGAGCGGGGCTCCCAAGAATCCCAGGACGGGGGATAGCCGCGCCACCGGACGAGGTAACTCGTCCGACGTCCGTTCACGTCGCGGTGGTTCAACAGCTGCTCTACTAGATAGCGCTGGCCACCGCGAGAGTCCTCTAATGGAGGTGGAGGAGGAGGAAAGACGCTCTCCACACGATCATGTGGATCGGTGTGTTCCCGAGAGCTTCTTTGATCGCGTAACGCAAGGGTTACGCGACGATCTCGAGCATGAGCGGAATAGGCGTCTCCAGATGGTGGACACTGCCTCGAAGCATCGAGCTGAGTTTGCCTTTGCTCAGCTTGAGAACGAGAGATCTCTGACATCTCTTCGTGACGAGCTAAGGGTAGCTCGTGGGATTGTTGATCGGTCTCGGGCTGAGATAACTGCTCTTCAGACCCTTGTTGATGCCCACCATCGGGAGCACAAGGCTCTCTGCGAGATGCTTGAGCGCAAGGGCGTTCTTCATCGGAAGAAGCAGCGTACTGATGGTACGGCTTAAGCCGACCAACGTAAAACGTGGGATGCGTTCGCATCTTACGTGGTAACTCGATCGTGTATGCATTGCCTAGGCGGTGCAATACACGAAATGGGCCAATGTACTTGGGTAGTAGTTTACTGCTACCCAAGTTAGTCACTACATGTTTTGGTAGATTAACCGTAGACAGTAGGACTAAGTCACCTTTATTAAATAAAAGAGTGTTTGCCCTTCCATTCTTGTCAGCGTTTTGCTTTTGCTTATCCACCGCTTCGGCGATGGAGTCTTGCACAAAACGGACTACCGTTTCACGAGCCAGTATGAACTCATCTGATGACTCGTTAGCTTCAGTGTGCTGTGAGCGCACTGCAGCGACAACAACCTTTTCTTCAGTGAGGGCTTCCGCACTCTCACTGGGATCATTGTCTTCAGTGAGGGCTTCCGCACTCTCACTGGCATCATCTTCTTCGATATCGATGTTATCGATATCGGCATCAAACGCAATGACTTCTTCGTCAGAGCGTGATGAGCGTGAACCAAATCGGTTTTTGCTCGCGCGAGTCCCTCCCCCCCTTAAACCAGAGTTACACTCTAGTAAGGTGGGTACACGCGGATGGCGCAAGCCATTCACGTAAAACGGTGTATGTGTCGTGGACGCATGCACCGAGTTGTTGATGGCAAACTCTACCATCGGCAAAAACTCACTCCAACTCTTAAAGGAGTGTACGTATCCTCGAAGTATCTCTTCGAGGACACGGTTGGCACGTTCCGTCTGACCATCTGACTCTGGATGATCAGATGTTGACATCTTCAAGCGCGTTCCGAGTGATTTGAACACGGAACGCCAGAAATCAGCAGTGAATCGTGGATCTCTGTCTGATACGAGTTCACGGGGCAACCCATGAAGTCGGAAGATGGTGTCAATAAAGACACAAGCACAGCCACTTGCCGTGATTGTCTCTGGTACAGCCACAAGGTGTACCATTTTGCTGAATCTGTCAACAAATACGAGAATACCTGTATTCCCGCGTGCGTCTTTGGGTAACCCGAAGACGAAATCCATTGAGATGGATTCCCAGCACTCAGCCGGAACCGGTAGAGGCTGTAAAGGTGCACGCAGTGAAGGACTTGACTTCACTCGTTGGCAGACTTCGCATGCGCGAACATACTTTCGCACAAACTGATACTGGCGGGGCCAGTAAAAGTCTCGACTTACCGTGAGATATGTTTTCTCTCGGCCACGATGTCCTCCTATAGGAGCATCGTGATACTCGAACATGATCCGCAAACGCAGATCAGTATCATCTGGAATGACAACACGTGGTGTGTCACCAGAAACGGCTGTATAATACAGTAAACCGTTACGAGTAGTGTATCGATCTGATGCAGATCGATACGCAGACGACAATCGTTTCAACGATTCTCGGGATGGTTGGGAGAGATGTGACAACAACTTCACTATCTCACCATCTTGGGCGTATGCCCGCCTCACATCATCATACAACGTTGTAGATGGAACTGAGGACGTCATAACCGCAACAGTGACTGTCTCACTGTTGGGTTTCGCGACTGTTTCAAAGTCGGGACGACGTGAGAGTGCATCAGCGACGACATTAAGTCGTCCTGGTTTGTACTCGACCGTAAAGTTGTATTCTGCAAAGAATGACAACCACCGCGCCATTCGTTGTGAAAGGTGCGGGCTGTTCACTGCCGTGCGTAAGGACGCATGGTCAGTGTAAACAACGAAGGGTCTATCTCCTAATAGATAGACTCTGAACTTCGCTAGTGCATACTTCATGGCAAGGAGTTCCTTGTCATGCACTGGATAGTTCCGCTCAGCTGGTTGCAGCTGACGCGACTGATAGCAGACGACGCGTTCAACGCCTTCAAGGTCGTACTGCATTAATGCACAGCCGATTGCGAAATCGCTGGCATCACAGACCACATGAAATGGCCTGTCCTGATCGGCTATTGCTAGGACTGGGGATTGTATCAAGCTCTGCTTGATACCCTCAAAGGAGCGTTGACATTCAGCGTTCCATAACCACCTCTCGTTCTTTTTCAACAAACGAGAGAGGTGTACAGTCATCTCGGCGTAATTGCGTGAATACTTATGCAAATACGCCGCTAGCCTAAGGAATTTCCGAAGACCTTTGACATCGACCGGCACGGGCCAGTCGGTGATCGC